GTTACCTTATTTTGACGTAAATTCAAACTTAGAGAAAAGTTGCAAGAATAGTCTTAGGGGTTGAGGTCATGCAGCTTAGGGTTCAGGGCTTGGGTCACAGGGGCTATTGCTTACTGTCAACCAGATTCCCCAAATGTTAACATTTTACCACATTTGCTTTGCATTTTATATATATACATGGAGCCTTGGTGGTGCAGTGGTTAAGAGCTCGGCTGCTAACCAAAAGGTAGCAGTTCAAATCTACCAGCCACTTCTTGGAAACTCCATGGGGCAGTTCTACTCTGTCCTGTAGAGTCCCTGTGAGTCAGAATTGACCCGATGGCAGTGGGTTTGGTAAGGGGTGTGTGTGTGTATGTGTGTGTGTATGTGTGTTTGTGTGTGTGTGTGTGTGTGTGTATTTTCCCCTTCCCCCTGAAATATTTGAGAATAAGTTGCAGAGAATAAGCCCTGATCCAAAGTTTACCTCTGTGGCTCCACCAACTTTGCACCCATCATCATCCACATGGCCCTTTATCTCTAAGTACTTGTATTTATTTCCTAAAATCGAGGACATTATCTTATATAACCATAGTATAATTCTCAAAAACAGGAAATTATCAATACTTCTATAGAATCTATTCACACTTTGCCAATTGTTCTAATGTCTTTTACAGCAAAAGAAAATGCTGGATCACACATTGCATTCAATTGCCCTATCTTTTAATCTGAGTTTTTCTTGTCTTACATGATATTGACATTTTTGAATAGTGGCTAGGCCAGATAATTCATAGAATATCCCTTAATTTGGATTTACCTGATACTTCCTCATGATGAGATTCATACTTTGCATTTTTGACAATACCACAGAATTGATGCTGTGTGTCCTTCTCAGTGCATCATATCAGAAGGCATATGATGTTGATTTGTCCCATTACCAATCATGTTAACTTTGACCACTTGGTTGAGTGGTTGAGGTAGTGTCTAACAGGTTTCTCCATTGTACAAGTACTGTTTTTCCCTTTGTAATTAATAAGTGTCTTTGTAAGTTAGGGTTAAGTATTCTGAGTCACAGGGGAGATTGGTAAAAAGCACCCAAGATCTCAGGACACATGACCCACACACTATCCACAAGAATTTACAGTATTTTTTGCCTCTTTCTCTGCAGGCATCCAGGGCATTGTGGATGCCTACCGCCAAGCCCTGCCCCAAGTTCGCCTCTATGGCCCTACCAACTTTGCACCCATCATCAACCACGTAGCCAGGTTTGCAGCTCAGGCTGCACATCAAAGGACTGCCTCGGTAAGGGGCATAGCTGGTGGGGATGGTCTCCATCAAGGGACTTCTTGTCAGTGTGGAAATGTGTAGCTGGGGTTTTCTTTAATATTTTGGAGGGGTGTTCTTTTGGAGAGGGGCACTGTGAGCTGTCTGCAAGGGCTTGGGAGGATCAGCCTCAGTGTATGAATGGGTTTACCCTCAGCAATACTTCGTGCTGCTGCTGCTGACCGATGGTGCTGTGACAGATGTGGAGGCCACACGTGAGGCTGTGGTACGTGCTTCCAACCTGCCCATGTCAGTGATCATCGTGGGTGTGGGCAGCGCTGACTTCGAGGCCATGGAGCAGCTGGATGCTGATGGCGGGCCCCTGCGTACGCGTTCTGGGGAGGCAGCTGCCCGTGACATAGTGCAGTTTGTGCCCTACCGCCGCTTCCAGAATGTGAGTAGGGCCTCTCCTTGATGTAAGGTGGAGGCCTAGGGTATATTTTCCCTTTTACCCCATGAAATGTAGACCTTGGGAGGTTGTTATGGACCATAACTGACCTTGCCCCTCTTCTTCTGGCAGGCCCCTCGGGAGGCATTGGCACAGACTGTGCTCGCAGAAGTGCCTGCACAACTGGTGTCCTACTTCAAGGCCCAAGGTTGGGCCCCATTCAAGCCACTTCCACCCCCGGCTAAGGGCCCTGCACAATTCCCCCAGGCCTAGGTTCCCTTGGAGAATGGGCTGTGGACAGTCCTCAATCCTATATCCCCAAAGACCCTTTGAGCCATGGCCCAACCCTGTACACACTCCCCAGTGCTAGCAGTTTATGTTTTATACTTTTATACTTGCTCCTGCTATTGCTGCTCTTGATTCCAATTTCCTCTCCCTGGTGCCTGTCATTCAATAAAGACCAGGAAAGACCACTGCTTGCCACTGCTCTGTGTGTTTTTGGGTGAGAGGCTGCTGTTAGCCATGCATGATACCCCTTTGCTGTCAAGTTGATTCTGACTCATAGCAACCCTATAGAACAGAATAGAACTGCCTCATAGGGTTTCCAAGGCTGTAATCTTTACGGAAGCAGACTGCCACGTATTCCTCCCATGGAGCAGCTAGTGGGTTCAAACCGCCAACCTTTGTGTTGACAGCTAAGCGCTTAACCACTGCACCACCAGGGCTCCTTCTAGAACAATAGCCCCACTCAAAGAATAGAATTTATTATTAACCTGGGCATTACTAGCCAAACAGTGAGAAACATTGACACTATTCTTGGAAATTCAAAGATTGAACGTAAGCCAAACACTGAACAAAGACATGGTGGAGTGTGCTAAGCCTCATAGGAAAAGGCAGTGGTTGAGGGATGGGTGAGTTTTAGATGAAGCAAGGGCTATGTTAGACTTCCTGGAGGACGGAGCAGTGTAAAGATAGGCTACAAGCCTGAAATTTTTTAATAGCTAGTTGATTTATATTCATTGTATGCAGAGAAAATAAGTTACCACCAAAACTCCCATATTCCCGTAAAACATTTGGTGTTATCTTTCAGGTCTTTCTCTGTGCACATTTATAGTCTGCATTGTACAAAAATAAGATATCATACACACTGCTTTTGCAGCATACTTTTTTTTCCTAATTTTAAAAGTAATACATGCTAGTTAGCACAAATTTCAAATATTACAGAAATAGATAATAGAGCAGGTGAGGGCCTCTGTCTGATAGCTCTGACAGATAGTTAACAATTTAGGATAGCATTCCAAAAAAAATTTTTTTCCAAAATAGGACATCATACATACTATTTACACCTTGTTTTTACTTAATATATTTTGTGTATCTTTATCCATCTGAACTATTGCCTACATATTGTCTTTTAATGCCTACATATTATTTCCATTACGTGAATATACCATAGCTTATTTAGCCAATCCCTTATTAATGGAGAAATGGGTCACTTCCAGTTTTGTTCTGTTAGAAGTAATGGTGTTATGAGCATCGGTGCACATTTCTTTTTATACACTTATGGGAATATTTCTAAAGAATTCTTTCCTAGAAGTGGAAATGTTATTTAAAATTTTCATAGATATTGTCAAATTGCCCTCTATAGCAAAAGTCAACTTACCCCTTTTTTCTGACAGGCCAAAAAAAAAAAAAATTTTTTTAGTTTGAGTTTAATTATGTAGGCAAGTTATGTCATTTCATATATTTGTGAATTATATTTCTTCTGAGTAGTAGCCTATTCGTAGCTTTTTCTTTCTTTCTCTTTTTTTTTTGGTTACAGCCTTTATTCTGGTTAACTCTTGGTCTTATACATGTTTAAAATATTTTCTCCCAGGCTGTTGTCTTTTCATTTATAGCATCCTTTGGTATATAGAACTCTTAATAGGAATAGGAATAATAGGAAGTTTTAAATTTTTTATGTATGCCAGTCTAGCTTGCTTTTAAAAAAGTTAACCATGTATCATTAATTGCATTCCCTGACATTAAACATCCCCTTATATTACCATTTTTATTGACTCTTATTTTGTAGCATAATTTATCTACTTGGATACTAAGTTTCCTTATTTTTCTCTATAAACAACAGTGTGATGACTGTCTTTGATAAGTATTATCTTTTGAATACATCTGTGTGTCCTTTGGATACATTCTTAGAAATGGCATTGCTGTGATCAAAGACTATAAAAAGCTTTAAGGCTTTTGGTTTCTATTGTGAAACTGCCTGCAGAAAAGCTACACTAGTTCACATGTCTAACCTTAGACTTTGACAACACCAGATAGAATCTTTTTTTTTTCTCTGTCTTCAAATTACAAAATAACCCAAAAATTCAAACATGGATAAATATTCTACCCCCACATATTTAGACATCTCAACTTCACTTCCTAGATGTGTAACCACTGTTAATAGACTTGTCTATTCTTCTAAAACATGAACACACTGGGAAGCATCCTAACAAGCCAAGTTTTGAGCATTCTTTTCCACATGGTGGTCCTTCTCTCCTACTCCCTGCCCAGGTAGAGCTCAATTCTTTGATGCTTGTTTCCTTCATCCCCTAGTCCTCCAATTCTACTTTCAACCTGTAGAGTGAAGATTTCTTAGATCTGTAAATGAATTGTCCTGTTTCATGGAGCATCTTCTCTCTCCTCAGGCTTCCTGAGGGCAAGGACTCTTGAACACCAGACCACCTACCCTGCCTGGCAAAGGGACAGGTACTCAGGTCTCAGTAAAGACAACATGAGAAGGGGCTACACCAGGCTTGCATCAGCTCTGACTCACAAGCTTCCTAGAGGTTCTCAAGCCTCCTCAGTTTTGGAGTGTTTGTCTTAAAAGAAGGTAGTTCCCCTTCACCTCCTTATGCACCTAGCAGGGGTTGGGGGACTTCCCAAGAGGTTGAGCGTGGGGATTGAAGAGCACAAACTTTGCTCCAGGCTGACTGGCATCTCTGCAGTTAAAGAGGATGGCCTCTGGAGGAAGGCAGGCCTGGGTCCTGCTCTCGCTCTCCACTGTGTGACCTTAAGCAAGTTTCCTGAGTGGCTTCCCCCTCTGTGATTGTGAGAATTAAGTTAGGTGATGTGTGTAATGTCCAGAGCCCTGCCTCTAGTACATGTAAGCACTCCATAGATGTGAGCTGCTGCTATTATATTGACCTGAATTTCTCCAAGAAAGGAGGTGTATTGGGTGGCAGATCCCCACCATACTTAAATGCTAAAGGCAGCCAGGGCCTCCAACAGAGCACCCCCCAGCACTGATCCAGCTTCCTTCAGCACAGACCTCCACTCTACTCCATCAGTGCGTTTAATGCGGTCCCCCAGTGACCCCTGTGGTACTGTCCCCTGCCCCCTCTGAGGTTCGCTCGCCATGGGCACGGACTCGATACAAGCATGTGAAGCGGGGGTGGCCCCAGTTGCTTAGAATCTGGATCTTCACCTTGGGAAAGGCAGCTGGGGGGTCATTCTGGGGAGACAAATGGATCATGCCAGGGCCTGTCCTCCCAAGGGCTGTCCCCCTCCCTGGCATCTTCCTTCGATGCCCCACTCCCTCAGCATATTCATCCCGAGACAAACACACCTGCAGGTGGAACGTCTGAATCTCAGATTTCTCCACATCGAAGGTGAATTTCCCCAAGAAAACTTCAGTCTCATCATCAACCTGGAGGCCCTGGAGGGTTAAGAGTGAATGGAGGAACAGTAAGGCATGGGTAGAGGAGGGAGAAAGCAACTCTACTGAGGATCTACTGTCTACTCAGTATCTGTATACCTGCTCTCATGTATTTTTTGGTGTTAGGGATAGTGTAATGTAGAAACAAGGTTTGACTTTTAGTCTGGCCAATTAGCTCTGTAACGTTGGACAAGTAACTTCCCCTTTCTGAACACTAATTTCCACTTTTTTGTGGATTTAACACACTACTGTCAAAAGTTGAAAAACTGTTTAAATCACAGTTACAAGTGTTTTTTGTTTGTTTTCAGTCCAACATGTATTTAGCACTTTTTTGTGGTTTTAACATAACTATTTACAGGCAAAAGCTGAAAAAGTGTAAAGGGGGAGATGATAGTAGTACCTCATAGGTTGTGTAGATGTAATGACATAATCCTTGTGAAGTGCTGGCACAGAGTATGTGCTCAATAAGCCATAACTAATATTTTAGATGTGGTTATGATTATTTATAACCTACAGCAGCCCTGAGGGGCAAGTAGTGATATCTCCATTTTATAGATGAGCAAGCAAAATCTCAGATACTGGCACCAGTCCCCATGACCGCCTGGTACTTTCTAGGCAAAATCTAGCTCCAATTACCCATCTTCTTGGCCTCAGCCCCACTCACATAGACTGCGAAGTCTCGGGGAGCACTGTTGGCTCCCCCGGTGTGCGCCACGCTGGGCGGCGGATGCTGCAGGGTGATATCGCTCAACTGTACACGGCCCGGCAGCCGGATCACCACTTGGCCCTGGTCGCCCTCAAAAGCCCAGCAATTTCCAGGGAACACGTCCGGCTGCAGGCGGGCGGATAGACCATCAGAACCCGCGGTCTGAGGGTGTTGCTCCACTCAGGCAGGCCCCGCCCTCAGCTGGACCCCATCCTCGGCACCGCTCAGCGCTCCACGCTCACTCAGCCCGGGTCCCTTCCCAGCCAGACCCCTCCCGGAGCCCCAGTTCCCAGAACTTCTAGGTCTCTCCTTCAGCTTGACGCTATTGTCGGCCTCACTCAGCGTCTCACCTCAGCAAGGTCAGACCCCCTTGCAGCCCAGGCTCTGGACCTTTCCCAGCGTCCCGCCCGAGGTCCTATCCTGGAACCCGATTGGAAGCCCACCTCCAGGATAACCGTGGGCGGCCGCGCGTAGTTCCAGAAGCTGAAGCGATTCCAGAAGTAGGCAGTGTCAGCGTCCTCGTAGTCGTGGGATGTCTTCTCTAGGTCGATGGAGGCTCCTGGAGCGGGTGGAGAAGGAGATGGGGCTCCGGAGCCAGACGGATAGCTGGGGGAGGGTCTGAGGCTCTGTCTCCTCCAGCAGGTCAGTCTGTGTCAATGTCTCTGAATCTCTGTCTCCCAGTGTCTTTGGGCCTTACCCACGGAGCTCAACGCATAGTCCGGTTTCCGCACAAAGTCCTCATTCAGCCTCTGGAACACAAGCTTCGCCACTCTCTGAAAGAAACAGGGCGGTGCCTGGTGGGGCGTGGCTCCAGGGCCTGGTTTCTGGTGGGCAGGGTTCTCTGGGGACTAGGCTCTCCGGGATGAACTTCGTGGCCCCGGGAGAAACTCCGAGGTCGAGGCTCTGGGGTGGGGCTCAGGGTCAGGGCTCCAGGACCTAGGGAGCGGGTTCCGAAAGGGTTTCCCACGGTGGGCTGGAGCCATTGGAGCCAGGCTCCCGGACACTCACAGGTGGGCAGGATGGGGTGCGGGGCTCACCTCGCTGTTGGCGGCGCGGACGCTGGACATCTCCTTGTGGAGTTTATCCAGCTCGGCCTGAAGCTGCTGCAACTGCTGCCCCTGGGAGCGCACGCGCTCGTAGTACTCGCTGCAGGAGAGAGGTTGGCGCGAGGGGTTGGCTCCCTGTCCCCATGGAAGCCTCCCTTAGAGCCCCCCACAGAAGCACCTTTGAGCCCCCCAATTTCCCACCCCAGGTGCCCTGTTTCACCTCATAGTCAGCATCTCCTTAGGTTCCTAGTGGGGAGGGAGGGACAAAATACAGCGCCGGTCAGCTCCCCTTTCCCCAGATTCTCCCACTTCAACCTCGGAGCAGCCAGATTAGGCGCCCTGTTTTTGAGGACTGTGCACCCCCACACTCTTCCCTGACCTCCCAGGATCACAGCCTCAGAGACTCCCAAGCACCTCTGGGCACAGCCCTTCATGAGCCCCCCGCTCATATCCAGCCCTTCCTTAGGATTCCAGCCTCGGCACTGCCCTCCCCCCAGAAGCCTCCCAGCTCAGGACTTGCCAACCGCCCCCCAGGACAGTCTCCCCACTCACATTCTCCAAAGGAGGGACCAGGTACAAGAGCCCCCACCAGAGCGCTGGAGAAAGAGGGGATCTCAGGCGAAGGGAAGGAAATGTTTTCTCCGGGATAGACAGTGAGGAGAGAAGAAGCTTGAGGGGTCGAGCCTGGGGCAGGCTGTGGGGGTTTGAGCCGGGACTAGAGCGCCCTGGGGGGACTGCAGGGCGCTGACGGACATAGGAAAAAACGACCTGCATTTGGCTTCCGAAAACCCTGGGCTGGGGCTGGGTCGCCTCCCTCAGGGCCCAGGGAAATCAGCACCCCCTCACCTGCCAGAAAGAGGCTCAGCAGCGACACGGCCGTGAGGAGGAAGCGGATGGAACAGACCTCCCTGAGGGAACCGGAGGGAGGCTGAGGCCCCAGACCCCAGTCGCCTCCCCTAACCCCCACCCCGCGTCCTGGACCCAGCTCCTGTGAACACGAGGTCTGGATCGGCTCAAGCCTCAACCGCTGCGGCCCTGCTCCCCACCCCCCTCCAAAGAACAGCCCATGGGGCTCCCCTTCCCTCCCTCTGACCTGTACACACTGACCAGCACGTCTCCTACCAGGGATAACAACACGCTCAGGACCTGGAAGAGCTGGTCTGAGGAGAGGAGAGGGCGCTCAGGCTAGGGGCTGTGGCTCAGTGGGGGAGGGGAGACGGGTGGTGGCGAGATTCTGAAAGGGTTAAGGAAGGGAGGCTTGGAAGGGCCTGGGGCTCAGGAAGAGGGCGTGGGCTACAAGAATCCTATAGGGCCTAGGAATGGGTTGATACTCAGAGAAGGGGACCGGGCTGTGGGAGGGGGCAGAGGTCTCAGAATAGGGTTGGGGGCTTAGAGATGGAACGGGGGCTCGGAACCAAGACCGGGGTCTCAGAGACGAGCATTGGCGTTCAGAGAGAGAAGCTGGTGGCCCAGAGGGGAGTAGGGCTGGTCTGGCTCATACTCAGGAAGCTCTTGGACACCCGCGGGGCTGGCATCTCCTGTCTCATATCCAGTGTCGGGAGAACGTCGAGCTGCTCCTCAGAGACTACGGGAGTCCCAGTCGGTTCTGTGGGAGCCCAAGGGCTCCATTGGGGCCTTGCACATAGCAGGCCCACTCTTTCCCCGAGACCCCGCCTGAAGTTGCCCAGCCCAGAAGCAGGGCAGCCTCACAAGCTTTGGTCCCTCCGCACCCGCCGCCTAAGTCTTTTTCCGCCCACTGAGACCCCGCCCCTTAGGTATGCTCAGTCAACACGTTGGACCCACCCCCAAACAGAAGCCCCGCCCCCAGTCCCAAGACTTGGTGCGGCCCCATTTCACCGGTAGCTACTCACGCTAACACCGAGGCCGCGCCTCCTCCATGATGCCCGATCACAGGGCTTTCCCCGCCCCTTCCCAAGACCGTCCATCACACAAGATCCCAGCTCTTAAGGGGCCTTCTCTAGTGCCTCCCCTCCCATACCCTATAGGCCCTTCCCCTCAGAAGGTGCCCAAAAAAAATTTTATCCCCTTCCAGGCCAGGCCCCGCCCACTTAGGTCCCTCCCCCTCCCACAGCTTACCCGGGTTCGACCCCGCCCGCACCCGAGGCCCCGCCCCTCACGGTTGCCGCGCCACAGGCCGTCTGCCCCTTGTGGCTCCGGGGCGCCGGCTTCTGCCGAGAGCTTCCAGCCCATGTGGTTCCTCCGGGCACTCCTGGGCTCAAGGCGGGCTCACCGCAGCTCGAGCCCCGGGCTGTTCTACCCTCGGGCTCCCCGGGCCCCGGCCCAGTTGACCGGTGCCCGCTGCTGTCTCCGGAGGTGGCGCTCACTGAACTGTTGTCGCTGTAGAAGTTGGGTGTGTGCTTGTGCGGGGCAGCGGCCGAGCCCGGACGGGGGCTCCGCCGCATCCTGACCTGGGGTCTCCTTCTCACGGACGCCAAAGTCGCCGCCGCAGCGGCGAAGGTCCTCAGCCAGTGCGCGCCGCCCGGACAGTTCGGACCCTGCGTGCAGCCGGCGGGCCCCGAGGTTGGACCCAGCCCTCTCCCCCTGTATCTGGGCTTGGCTGCTGACGTCATAGAGGAGATCACGATCACCGCGTAACATCCTAACTGGGCGTCATAGAGCTGGCCGTGGCGTCACAGGGAGTCATGGTAGTCTGTCTTATTCTTTCTGACATTGTAAAGCAAGCAATGACATCACAGCACTTCCCTGAAAACCCGTCTAACATTGCACCTAGCATAAAACAATTTTTGTCTCCCTTCCCTGCTTTGTTTTTCTCCTCAGTGGGAGGGGAAGGCCAGAATACTGCAAACTAAGAATTCTAGTCCTCCCCTCTGCCCCTACTGTTTCCTGTTTGACTGTGAACTCCTTTGGGCCTCAGTGACTCATCTGTCAAATGGGATGGTGAAACCCTCTCCCAGCATCTGAGGGCCTTGGGATCTAACCTGGACTTTGCTTAGAAACAACCCCTCCATCTTGTCTGATGTTTTATACCCCCAAAACTCATTTGAGCCCCCAGCAACTGGGAAACAGGCAGAACAGGGATTTCCAACTCCGGTATTAAGAAGGAGAAGCACAAGAAGGGACTATGTCTGGGTCCAGGCTATACAGCAAGACCCAGCTCCTCTGACTCTGTCTAATCTTATCTGCTGCTGCGGCCTGATACATTCCTTGTACTCAGGCCAAAATGAACAAATCACATGTCTCAGAACACACCCTGCATTCCTCCCCACTGCCGGGAATGTCTGTCTCTGCTCCCAACTCCTATCCTCAAAGCCCATTTAAAGACCCCCTTTGAGAAGTCCCCGGGTAGTGCAACTGGTTAAGGTGTTAGGCTGCTCACAGAAAGACTGGAAGCTTGAGTCCACCCAGAGGTGCCTGAGAAGAAAGGCCTGCCGATCTACTTCCAAAATATCAGTCATTGAAAACCCTATGGAACACATTTCTTCTCTGATACAGATGGAGTCCGTATGAGGTGGGGTCGACCAGATGGCAACTGGTACTAGTCAGTCTCTTCAGCAGTGTTCACTCCTAGTATGTGCTGTGTCAGAGGTTATTGTAAACACCCCCTCTGATCTCCCTCCACTGAGCTCCTGAGCCCTAACCCTTTCCCACTCTGGTGGTGCTTGCAGTTTTTCTAGGCTTTGTTAGGTATTGCTGTTTATGGTACACATCTGATTCACCTCTGTGGCTGCTCTCCCTACCCCCAGGGTGGCAAAACACAAGTCCTGCATATAGTGGGTATCATTAAATAGAATGATTAAGTGAATGGCCATGAAGTGTACTCAGTGCATAGTTACTGCCACTTATTAAGGGTTCAGACAAGGGGATATATTCATTCCTTCATTCAGCAAAAGTATTGCATATCTGTTTAAAGGTTTAAGGGTTATTCACTTAAGCTAGGAACCCTATGTCCTGAAAAATGCACACATGCTCAATATTTAGCAAACAATTTTAAGAGTTCACAGACTCCCTGGAGCCCATCTGTGTTCCACTAAGGTCCCAGGGTCCCTAGTTAAGGATCGCTGGCCTCAAGAAGCGTATTAAACACACACTGTGTGCAAGCTGGAGACACACATTCAATTACTCATTAATTCATTCACTCAATAAATGTGTTGAATGCCTACTGCACTAATGCTGGGGGCTAGGGGATTCATTTGTTAATCTACCCAATGTTCTGAGGACCTAACATGTGCCAGGCCTTGAGCTGGGTATTAGGGACAGAGAGATGAACAAGGAACAACATGAGGTCCATGCCCTTCAGGCCTCATAGGCTAGCAGGGACCAGACTGGGGTTCTGTCCTTTCCCCTTCCCTACACCCCCATTCCATCCTAGCTCCCACTCCACAAGGATGCAGGATGGAGGCTGAAACAGTCCTGTCAGTTTGCAGCTGGTACAAGTAGAGAAGACTGCCCTGAACATAGGGACCTTACCCCCATTATCTTAGTCCTTCCACTCCCTGCTCACCCATGACCCCCCAGGCCTGCCAACTGTGTGTTTGACTAAAGGGCAGGGATTGCTGAACCTGCTGGGTGAGTCCAGTGAGTCAGAGGAGATTCAGGTGGGTGGCAGGTGGGCAGGAAGGCAGGTAGGCAGAGGGAGAGCCAGTGGCACTGGGACCATGGCTCTGACTGTGTGTGTGCGGCGACTGACAGGGCTGCCAGGCACCCATGACCGACAAGTGAGGCTCAGCTTTCGGGGTGAGGCCTGCAGCTAGGAGTTTTGGAACTGGGGGGCTCTGGTTCTACATTCTGGTTCCTGGCCATCTCTACATCCTGTCCCCTTTCACCCCCAGCCCAACATCTCTATCCTCCTGCCTCCTTCCCTACCCAGCTTCTATTCTGACCTTTCTTTGAAAGTGAATCCAGGGAGAATGAACCCTGGGCCAAGGGTGGTGGTGGGGAATGATCTGTTTGTGTGGAAAGGGGCTGATTAATGACTAGCTTCAGTTCTGAACAGGTTTTACCCAGAAAACAAGGAAAATTCATTGTGGTCAAGAAACAGATATTGGTGAGGTCAGTAGGGTTGTTTCCTAGATGGGGAGAAGCTGGACTTGAACCCAGTTCAAATCCATCCTGGGGGTGGGAGGCTCATTCCTGGGTTTTGGGTGGTTTAGTCTTAGGAAGTGGGGTCAGTCTCAGGCTTGAGAAGTCGGACCCAGTTTGGGACAATCAGTCCCAAGATTGGATTAGTTCATCGTTGGTAGTTAGCCCCAAATCAGCCATAGTTTGGAGTCAACCACATGTTGGGGAAATTGGTTCCAAGTCTGGGTGGTCAGTCCTAGAGTTAGCTCCAAGTTAAGCCCCTGTTTTGGGAGTAGGATCTGGACTGGGGGTGAGGGTCAGCTCAAGATTGAGTGTCTCAAGTTTCCCCCTATCCCCAGCTCTTCCGTTGGCCACACTATGGGGCTCCATTGGCTGGGGAGTGTCTGTCCGTGCAGGTGATTAACTGCAGCCGTGTGTTCAGCCCCAGGTGAGCAGGCCTGGGGGTGCTGAAGGCTGGGATGCAGATTGGCCTGGAGGTGACTTGGTGCCATTTCTCTGGGTCATTCTACTGCTCCATGCCACTCCCCTAGGCCCCTGGGGACCCTGGTGATCTCCTTACAGCAGCTAGAGAGTGTTGGGCGTTTGGTACTACGGGAGGCCCTAGTGGATGAGAAGCTGCGAGTGTCCCAGGTGAGCCCCACCAGTCTTCAGCTGGCCACCCCCAAGCCTGAGAGAATTTCTCTAGGTAGAGGGTTCCATTTCTTACAGGAGAAAACCCAAGACCCAGATAGGAGTGGAAACAAGGTTTCTCTCATTCAGCTAGGGATCCTTTCATTCCACCCCCTGCCCAAGTCTAACATAGGACAAGAACCAGATTCAGCTCTGAGGGCCAGAGGTGTGGTGACGAGAGGAGATAAAGGGTTTTGAACTTCCCCCTGGCCCTGCACCAGACTCAAGTTTTGTGGGAGACAAAGATGAATCTGGCTGGATTTTCCTGTTAATTTTTGTTTTTTTCCCGTGGAGGGTGAGTATAGCATAGTGGAAATGGATCTGCCACCTCCCAGCTGTGAGATCTTGGATACGTTGTTTAGTTTCTTTATAAACTGTTGCCTCCTCTACACAATGAGGAGTCACCCTTTTACTTACTCAGCCTGTCATTATTTATGGAGCCCTTACTATGCACCAAGTGCTGTGCTGTGCAATGAGAATTTAAGGGCGAGCAAAACCAGACAAGGATTTGCCCTCATGGAGCTCCCTATCTAAAGAGGGAGACAAACATTCAAAACTATTCACACAAATAAAAGTAAAATTGCAACTGACAAGTGCTACAAAAGAGTTAATGGAGGCTGGGAGAGTGTAGAACAGAGGGATATAACTTATTTGGAGATCAGAAGAGGTTCCCTGAAGAAGAGGTGCTTGAGTTAGAAACTGAAGGATGATTGGAGTTAACTATGTTGGGCAGAGAGAACGTTCCAGGCAGAGGGACTGGCATATGCAAAAGCCCAGTGCCCTGAAGGAGCATAGCTGGGGTGCAGAGCAGAGCAGAAACCAATATGAGATGGGGTTGGAAAGGTGCTCAGGGGCCAGACCATGCCTGGACTGGTGGAGGTCAGAGTAAGGGGTTTCCAAGAGCAATGATGGAATTTTGGCATCGCATTCAGCTCCCCCAAGAGGTAATTTGTGTATAGTAAGTTCTTAATAGCTTATGGGTAGTCAACATTATTAGAAAGGAACTACATGCCACCACAGTTGCAGGCCAGGAGGGTCTCTGTTTACAGATAGTGTAAAAGACATTGTCCTTGGACCTGTCTTAGCCTAAGGGCAATTCGAGGGGCCCTAGGGGAAAACTATGTATCTGGTTTCAGATCCAGGTGGAGCTCGACCTGAGGTACCAGCCCCCAGAGGGGGCAATTGGGGCCTGGGCAGAGGAGGACTTTGGGGCACCTATCCGGGACAGGTAACCCCTCCACCAATCTCAGTAAGGCCTGGTGATCCCAGCCCAGGCAGGCCCTGGGGAGGGAGGAGTAATACCCAGTTACACTCTGGATCTGCTGGATAGTGTGACTGTTAGATGCTTGCTGACCAGTTTGCAGCTGTATAGACATAGCTCTATGTAGCTCTACAGTCCTGTCCTCTCATTTCTCTCCTTCCAGCTCCGAGCTGATCATTCCCAATGTGGGCTTCCAGGAGCTGAAGTAAGTGTGTGCAGATGCCCTGGATCACTGGCGTCAGTCTTGGGGTCAGGAGCCAGTGCCAAATTTAGTCCAAGGGTCAGGAGCTAGTTCTGAAATGAAGGGGTTGGTTCCAGGGCCAAAGGGTCAGTACTGAGGTCAGAGGTCAGTCCTGGAATCAGAGATCAATCGTGAATTAGAGGGGTCAGTGCCAGGGTCAGGGGTCAATCCCAGGATCAAAGGTCAGTCCTGGAGTCAGGGAAGTCAAGGAGTACCCAGAGATGGGTGATAGAGTCTAGACATGTTCCCTGAGGGATTTTCCTATCAGGCCTGGAGAGGCCCGACTGGAGCGGCAGGCAGTGGCTTTGGGTCGCAAGCTAGCTTGTGGCCTAGGCCAGCAGGATGATGAGGAGAATGAGCTGGAGCTGGAGCTGGAGGATGAGCCTGAAGTGGAGCTTTCCGGCGTCGTGTTCAGCCTCCTCAAGAGGTAACTTGGACCCATTGCACACCTGCTCCCACACCCGACCAGTGAGTCAGTCTCACTCGCTCCTACATGCATGCTCACACCCATCCACACTGACAAACATATGTCTAGGTAGTGTAAAGGTGGATATCCTGGGGTCAAGGGTCACTTATCCAAAGGCACAGACACTGCCACAGTCATACACACAGTTACATTGGTTCACACACAGCTTCTGGAGCCCATGTAGGTGATGAAATCTTCATGAGGGTGATAAATTTTGACTGTTTTGTTCACTGCAGTGTCCCCAGTGCCTAGAATAGCGCTGGTACATAGTAGGTGCTCAAGACATATTTGTTGAGTGAATGAATGGTTTCAGGGCTCCAGGAATGAGTCACATTTTGGGTGTATGGTGAGCAAAGAGGCAAAACAAGACCTGAGGGACTCAAAATCCAAAAGTTTACAGGGAGAGATTTCATCCTCAGCACTGAGCATGGGGAGCAGGGGTGGGGAGGTGTGGACAACCTGAGAGAGAGGGCCAAGTGGAGCTAACCTTAACTCTCCTGGCAGCCGAGCTCGGGGCCTGGCCCGCGGGGATCCTTTCCAGATGTCCAGAGCCCAGGACTTCCAGGTACCAATCTTCCTCCAAGCCCTAACCCTCGGGGACGACCACCTGCCCTCCATACACATTCCTTGGCCCTACCTGGCTGTGGGCACGCTTGGCTTCCTTTCTGTCTCCTTCCATACTCTGTAGGTGGGGGTCACGGTGCTTGAGGCACAGAAGCTGGTGGGAGTCAACATTAACCCCTATGTGGCTGTGCGCGTTGGGGAGCAGCGACGAGTAACCGCGACGCAGCGCGGGACCAATTGCCCCTTCTACAACGAAGTGGGAACAATCAAGGAAGGGGGGAGGCCTGAGGGAATGGGCGGGACCCAGGAAGGGATCGGCCCCAGAGGGGCGAGGCCTAAGTGGACTTATGCCAAGGGGCGGGCCTGAGGCTGAGAGGAGGAGCCTATGGATAGGCTGAGAAAAGGAATTAAAGAAGAGTGGTCTGGTGTAAGGTGGGGAGGGGTGGGGTTCTGTTTGCAAAGGGTAGGGGCAGGCTGGTGTGAACTCTTCACACATAACCTTCTCTCACCTCCATTGTCTCCCCACTTCAACCCAGTACTTCCTGTTCGAATTTCATGAGACCCGGGTTCGTCTCCAAGACTTGGTGCTGGAGATCACGGTGAGGGAGTTGGGGGTGAGAAGTTTCCTTCAGAGGAAGTGAGGGGCCTATGCTGAAGTTCCAGGACTAACATCGCTTCTCTTCCTCCCAGGCTTTCCATTCGCAGACCCTTCCCTTTATGGCCACCAGGATAGGCACCTTCAGGATGGACCTGGGAATAGTCTTCGACCAGCCAGGTACTGAACCCTCTGGACACTGACCCCTCATGGACCCCTAAACACTAACTTCTGAGGCAGTAATCTTTCCCCAAGGCTGACCTCCTTGCACTCGCGATCCTCCGCGATCACTGGGCACCCCTCCGAACACGGCCCTGGGCATCCCACGATTTCTTCTGACCCGTGACCCGCCCCTCCGCCCCCAGATGGCCACTTCTACCAGAAATGGGCTCCACTGCACGACCCCCGGGACACCCGCGCCGGGACCAAGGGTTTCGTCAAAGTTACCTTGACAGTGAGGGCGCGCGGAGACCTGCCCCCTCCGCTGCCACTCCAGAGACCGGGGCATAGTTCGGACATCGAGAAGTGAGCTGGGGAGTGGAGAACGGGACGGGGGGTGGCCAGGAACGCGTGGTGGCGGGATCCGGTCAACTTGGGAGAGGCAAGGCTTCTCCGCCCTCATCGCCCCCCTCCCCACAGGAACCTGCTCCTGCCGCGTCGGGTGCCGGCTGAGAGGCCGTGGGCACGCCTCAGAGTGCGAGTGTACCGCGCGGAGGGGCTGCCCTCACTGCGCCCGGGGCTGCTGGGCAGCCTGGCCCGCGCCCTGAACGACCAGCGCATTCTCATGGACCCCTATGTTCGGGTGTCTTTCCTGGGGCAGCAGGTAAGAAAACCTTTCCCGTTCCCACTCCGCTGCAGCTCCGGCCCTGATCCCACGCTGACCGCTCCCCGACTGTCTTCTCCGCCGTCCGCAGGGTGAGACATCCGTGCGCAGCGAGGCGGTGGCACCTGAGTGGAACGAGCAGCTGAGCTTCGTAGAGCTCTTCCCGCCGCTGACGCGCGGCCTCCGGCTGCAGCTGCGGGACGACGCTCCCCTTTTCGATGTGGCCCTCGCCACGCACGTGTTGGACCTCAGGCAGATCTCGCATCCGGGCCGCGCGGGTGAGGGCGCCGGACCTGCAAGTGCTGCCCAGCAAGGGCTGCCCCGCCCTGGTCCGGACCCCGGCGGTAAACTCCGCCTCGACTCGCCTCCGCCCTTTGGAGCCCTAGCCCGCCTTAGATTCCACCCCTGACGGCAAACTGCGTGCTTGCTTTGCTCAAGGTCCGGCCACTCCACTAAACTGTTCTCCAACCCTTCCCCGTCTTTCGGAGTCTCGCATGTCGACCCCAGATGACAAACCGCGCCCGCGGTTTGGCTCCGTTGACAAAATCCTAACCGTAGCTGTTGACAAAAATCCTGACCCTACTCGCATGTCCGATAATCACTCCAGCCCTGTCTTCCGCATAGCATTACACTCACAGAAACAAGCCCAGCCCCTCCTCTTGTACAGGCTCAGCCGAAGCTCCGCCCTAGTCCTGACTCCACCTCCAAGACTCTGGCTCCACCCCCAGGCCCGAGCCTTTGAGAGCTGCGCTGTTTTAGAAGTGCTTGCAGGCTGTGCTCCGCAGCCGTAGGTCTAAATAGCCCGCGGACTCCTTCCCTCCCAGAGCCTCCGAGGCCCAGACTCCCCACCCATCTTAGGAATTAGAGGAGAGAAGGGCGTGGTGCATAGACTGACCTAGTACCCACCTGCCCTTGCTCCCTCCAAAACAGTTCTTGTTCCCACAGCGGGGTTTAACCCCACCTTCGGCCCGGCCTGGATTCCCCTCTATGGCTCACCCCCCAGCGGGGGGCTCCGAGATGGTCTTCAAAATCTCAATGAAGGCCTTGGCCAAGGCATTTGGTTTCGCGGCCGCCTCCTGGTGGCTGTGTCCATGGAGGTGTTCGAAGGGAGAGCCGAACCCAAGCCTCCCCAGGCCCCACAGAGGTCCAGGCTATCCCGGCTCACAGGGAAGAAGAAGAGAGCCAAGCGAGGCCAGACCCCGACAGAAGTTCCGCAGCACCTGGATGCCAGCTCCAGTGCGGATGTGCCTGAGATTCCTAGTGCAATGGAGGTGGAAGTGGAGGAGTTGCTGCCGCTACCGGAGGTGAGAGCTGGCGCTTAGCAAAGGGGCTGGGGTCACTCTTAGGTTGCACACCTACCGTGAGGAGCAACTTCCTCTGGAGGGTGTAAACCGGGCCCCAGCCGTTAAACACCATGAGTAGGGTCTCCATGTGGGGGCCTGGGTGAAGACTGCAGTGTGTACACATGTGCTCGTGTGTATGTATGTACACATGTGTGTGGGTGTCTGACCCACCAGCGGTGGGACAGAGACGACTAGGCCCCAGGTCCAGAGGATTGGTGCTAAAAGGGGCAGAGAGGAAGGTAGGATACTCGCAGGGACTCTTCTAGGTCTTTGGTTGCAATGTCTTTGTGTGGCTGAGGCTGCTCCCCGGGAGGATGGGAGGCTGACCTCAGCCTGACCTACCTTCCCCAGAACGCCCTGGCGCCCAGCGAAGATTTCCTCCTCTTCGGTGTGCTCTTTGAGGCCACGATGATTGACCCTGCCTTGGTCTCCCAGCCCATCAGCTTTGAGATCTCCATCGGTGTGTGACCTAGCCTAACCCCTGAGGTTATGGGTCTGATGGTGGTCACTCTGTTTCAGATCTTAGGCTCCTGGAGGGGGCTGTTGACCCTCAGTACGGGGTGGATTCTGACTTCTACTGAGGCAGAAGAAGTTGAGATAGGGGTGGGACCCTCAGCATGACGCTTAATGACCCTTGCTGCTCCGGGCAGGTCCCGCGGGCCGCCAGGAGGAGCAAGTGGGCCGAGGTCCTAGGGCCAGGGAGGGAGCGGAGGGCGAGGCGGTTGAGGCGCAGCCTCTGCTGGAGTCCGACGCCGGAGCTGAGCCGGAGGAGGAGCTGGGGATCCCAGCTCAGCGGCCTGAGCCCATGGACGGGAACGGGTAAGTGCTTGGGGTGGCTGGGAGGAAATCACTGGGAGGTCTTGGGGTGAGGGCCCAGGACTGTTCTCCGCAGCTTCCGCTCCTCTCTGCCCCGCGCAGGCCGTACTTCTGCTTGCCCCTGCGCCGCCGCAAGCCTTGCGTGAGCGTCTGGAGCCGCTGGGAGAATCACATGTGGCGTCTGCTGAGCAGCAACAGCGTGCGCAAAGTAGCAGAGAGGCTGGTGAGGGCGGGACCGGAGCCCACTGGGAGAGAGGCAGGAAGATAAGGGGCGGGGCCGTAGGGATGTCCGGAAGACAGCAGCCTTTGGTGGGAACGTTTGAATTATGGTGTTGGCGAAGAATATTGAATATACCATGGACTGCCAGAAGAATGAATAGGTCTTTCTTGAAGGAAGCACACTCAGAATGCTCCTTAGAAGCGGGGATGGCTAAACTTGGTCTCGCTTACTTTGGACATGTTGTCAGGAGGGACCAATCCCTGGAGAAGGACATCATGCTTGGTAAAGTAGAGGGTCAGCGAAAAAGAGGAAGGCCCTCAATGAGATGGATTGACACAGTGGCTACAACAATGGGCTCAAACATAGCAACGATTGTGAGGATGGCGCCACCGACCAACATTTCGTTCTGTTACATAGTGTCACTATGAGTTGACTCCAGGGGACCTAACAACAACAACAACTAGGGCAGGAATAATGGGAGGCGTATCAGGGAGCTAGTACCTCGTTGGTTAAAGGCCAAAGGGCGGAGGCCAAAGAGCACAGCTTCTGGGTGAACTGAGGAGGCCAGAAGTAGTGGGAAGATACAGATTTAGAATTGCTGAGTCCAGGAAGGGGCGGGGTGAAGGAGATTGGCAGAGCTATTGGGGGCCAGGCCCCACAGGTGTGGAGCCAGTAGAGGGCAAGAAATGTGGAACATTGAAGCCTGGCCAAAACAGGGTGGGGCCAAGGGGGCAGATCGCAAGTGGGCGTGGCCCTGGATGGGGGCGTGGTGTAAAGGAGGTCGGATGCGAACCCTCGAGATCCTCAGCTCTGACAGTCTCTCCCGGTTGCGCAGGACCAGGGGCTGCAGGAGGCTGAGACGTTGCAGCGCAGGATCGGACCCGGCGCCTGTGCACGACTCAAGCAGGCTCTGGAAGAGCTGGTGGCTGGGAGCAGGTGAGCTGAGGGGCGCCTCTTCATTGTTGTCTGTACTCTGTGCCAGCTCTAGGGTGAATGATACTTCTGGTGGCTGTCTGGACCCAAGGGTGCCTTGAAACTGCGTTTGCTCAGCACTTTTCAGAAGAATGAGAAAAGATTGATTGTCCAGATCAAGGGAGCTTGATGGAGGGATGCTGATGGAGATTATTGGCTGTTAGGCCACCCCAGATGGTTTGGCACGTCTGTTGCCTTCCATTTCCGTGCTTCCTTTCCCACACTCCTAGAGTCTTAAGCCTTATTCCCTCTCCTCAAACCTTCCCTCATCCACTCCTCCACACTTCCAGGTAATGACGTTCTCTCCCACTTCACGGAGAAAACAGGGGCCTTGCCTTTCCTCCATCCAGTTTACCTTCTTGCCTGCATCTGCATCTGTATGCTCTCCTTTCTTCCTGCTACATCAGAGGAAGTATTTCTGTTCCTACAGCCACAGCTGTGATCTTGATTTCATCTCCTCTCACCCACTGGATGAATTAGCTCTGCAATTGTCCACTTTCTCTCCTGCATCAACTGGTCCCTAGTTACCACATCATTACTTTAACATAAACATGTTCTAGTTGCTTCCATCTTTCACCTTCACTGCCCTGAATTCCATAACTTGCTCCATGTACTTCAGTGTTTTTCTGATTCCTTTCTCAAAATAGTTATTTATCTATTTATTCAATGAATATTTATAGCATTTACCATGCCAGACACTGTTCCAGGTACAGGGAATAACAATGAAAAATGATTTCGCGCTACAAAAGCTTCTGAAACTTACATTCTGGTGTGTTGGGAGTGGGGAGAACGGGAATACTTCCTCTGATGAACAGGAAGAAAGGAGAGCATATGATGCAGACACAGATGTTGTGTGTATGCAACACGGATAATAAGCAGGCAAACAAGTAGAAATGTAAGAAGTATGATAAAGACAAGTGTTAAGGGAGGAAATGAAGGAAGCGTTTCAGAGACGTGTTGCAATTTTAGAAAGGAAGACGAGGGAAAGCCACTGTGAAGGTAATATGAAGAAGATGAAGGAGCAAACCATGTCTTAAAGGGCATCCTAGGCAGAGGGGACAATGCGTGCAAAGACCTTGAGGTAAAAGCATGCCTGGTGTATTTGAGGAAGAGTAAGAAGATCAGTGTGACTGAAGCTAAGAGAGTAGATGAGGTTGGAGGTTGGGGGACAGGAAGTTCACGTGGGGGCCTTGTAGGTCCATTGCAATGGCCTTGACTTCCCTGAGTGAGATGGAGAGCCACTGAAGGTTTTGAAAAGAGAAGAGATATGCTCTAACTTACCCTTAAAAAGTATCAGTGGGACCCCAAAGAATTGAAAACAGGGCACAAATAGATACTTGTATGTGAGTGTTCATTACAACATCATTAACAATAACCAAAAGGTGGAAATAACCTAAGTGTCCATCAACAGATGAATGGACAAAAAAAATGTGATATATGCATACGATGAAATAACATTCAGCCATAAAAGGGATGAAGTTCTGATACATGCTACAACATGGATAAACCTTGAAAACATTATGCTAAGCAAAATAAGGCAGACATAAAAGAACAAATATTGTATGATTCCACTTACATGAAATATCTAGAATAAGCAAACTCATAGAGGCAGAAAGTAGATTAGAAGTTACCAGGGGCTGGGGCAAGAGAAGATGGGGAGTGACTGTTTAATGGTTACAGAGTTTCTCTCTTTGGGGTGATGAAAAACTTTGGGAAATCCATAATGGTGATGGTTGCAAAACATTGTGAATATACTTAATGACACTTTAAAAATGGTTAAAGTGGCAAATCTTATGCTATATATACATTTTATCACAATTAAAAATTTTTGAAATGATTGGTGGGGGAGGGGTGGCATAAGAGGTAGCAGGGAGATTACTAAGGGAGGCCACTGTAATACTCCAGGTGAGAGATGTTGACAATGATGACTTGAATCTAGGGTACTTGCAGTGTAGTTGGAGAGCAGTGGATGGATTCAACAGCAATTTTGGAATTTGTAGGTGACACCTCAGGACTTGCTGATGAATAAGTGTGGAGGATGTATGCAAAAAAAAATCATGAATGACTCCCACAATTTTGGTTTACATGACTGTGTAGATTATGCTATTTCCTGCTATACGAAAAACAAGAGAAGAAGGTCTGATGGGAGCAGAGGAGAATACTAGGAGCTCAGTTCCAGACAGGTTAACTTTGAGAGGACTGTTAGATTTGCAAGTGGACTTTTCTGGTAAGCAGCTTACCATATGAGTTCAGTTGTAAGAAAAGTTCTAGTCTGAGCTGTCAATATGTAAATGGGGCTGGATAAGATCATCTAGGGAGCAGAGAGAAGAGAAGGCTGAGTACTGGAAAGCTCCAGCATTTACAGTAGAGTAGAAGAGAAGGAGTTGGCAAAGGACCTTGATCAGGAGGCGCAGTAAGGTAGTAGGCTGTAGGTGTAACTTTTCTGACCTCATCTTACTCAACCTCTTAGTTACTTAGTGCTGCTGTAACACAAATACCGCAAGTGGATGGCTTTAAAGAACAGAAATTAATTTTCTCACAGTTCTAGAGGCTAAAAGTCCAAATCAGGGTCTTGTCTGTGTTGATTCCTTCCTTGTAGGCAATCTCAGGCCTTCTGTGGTTCCTTTGCTTGTAGACAATCCTTACTTGGTATCTGTCTTCCCTGGTGTGTGCACGTCTCTGCGTTCATTCTGCTCTTTTTCTAACTCAGAAGTGATTAGATTTAGGATGACCTTGACTGATTGATTGCATTATACATGATACAATAGTAGATTGCATTGTGGAAGATGATTACATTATGGAAGATAATCTGCTCTACCCAAGACCAACTGATTCTATCACATGTAACTACTCCCTGACAGCAAATAGACTAGTGTTTGGCCAAACAGCTGGGAACCATACCCTAGCCAAGATGACACATAAAATTAACCATAAAAACCTCTCAGTGGCAGTTGACACAGTTCATCCTACCCTCCTCCTTGAAACACTCTACTGTTGACTTCCATCACCCCATATCCCCCTGGTTTTTCTCCTAACTCTCTGACCATTCCTTCTCAGTCTCTTTTGCTGACTGCTGTACTTCTTGACCTCCAAATGTTCATGTGTCCCAGAACTTAGCCCTGGGGCTCTCTTCTCTGTCTACATTCTATAAGTTTCCAAAAGAGCAACCACTTTTAATCCAATTTAATTCCTTGCTTGATTTTCTATACAGTACAGTTAAAATGTTTCCATTTTTACTTTACTGAAATTATTTTATTTGGCCCAATTCTTTGACAGGAAAATTTCAATGAAAGACTTGATTAATCAATTTTTTGCCCATGTTTCACTGTTTATAGGTTAGCGAGGGTAGTTTTCTTTTGCAGCCATTATTTCTACCAGATCCAATTTCCATGCATCTAATTTTGTGGATCTAAATCTTGTCAAGAAGATTTGATTCATCTATCAATTTTTAATCAATAACAGACGTTAATAATTTTGGCCCTTATTAGTTTTATTTTATGTTGACTATTTCTACCAATATAAGTCTTAGAGCTAAGAGCATTAGTAAGGCGAAAGTGTAAGCTCTAGGAGCAGTATTAGGTTTAAAATCCTTGGAATCATTTACTTTATATAATTTTGAAAACTTACCATAATACAAAGTTAAAAAAGTCATTGAGCGTCAAAATCGGCCCAAAATATCCTGCCTCAAAAATCATTTTACTTTACTCAACAAATATTTTTTGAGCAGCTACTAGGTGTCAGGAAACCCTGGTGGCAAGGTGGTTAAGAGTTTGGCTGCTAACAAAAAGGTCGGCAGTTCTAATCCACCAGGTGCTCCTTGGAAACTCTATGGGGCAGTTCTACTCCATCCTACAGGGTCGCTATGAGTCGGAACCGACTGGACGGCAACGGGTTTACTAGGCCCCGAGGATACAGTGGTAATCAAAATGTCGCCGTCCTCATTTACTTTCTATTTAGAGAGACAAACAAACACAACAGAGTACAAGGATGGAAAAGTGGCAGGGACTATTTAGATGGGGTGGTCAGGGAAAGTCCTATGAGAAGGTGACATTTGAGCAGGGACCAGAATGAAGAAAGGAAGTGAACCACGCAAAGATCTCAGAACACGCTAGCAGAGGGAGCAGCTAATACAAAGGCCCTGAGGTAGGAATAGACTTGGTGTATCTATGGAAGAAGAAAAAGGCCAGAATGGCTACAGGTATGTGCATGAGGGAGAGAGTGATATTTGATGAGGGAGTCAGATCATGTAGGGCCTAGAGGTGATTTTAAGGATTTTGTTTTTTATTCTGGGATAAGAACTACAGGAGAGGAGTGAAATGGCCTGGAAAACCATTGAAAGACAATTCTGGATGCTTTATTGAGAATATTATGTAGGAGAAGGGGCAAGAGTGGAAGCAGGGAGAGCAGTTAGGAGGCTGTTGTAATAATCCTGGGTGAGAGATAATGGTGGATTAGACCAGGGTCATTCTGGAGAAGGAGAACAGGAGAAAAGTGGTCAGAGTCTGGATATTTTTTGAAGGTAGGGCCTATATGATATGCTGGTTGATTGATGTGGGATGTGAGAGAAAGAAAGAGGAGTGAAGTTCTGAGATTAAGCAGGGTTTTTTTTTTTTCTGGGATTGGAATGCTGGTACTGTAATGGGTTTGGGGCTGTAATGTTCACACTATCTTGTAGTCAACCTGGAGGTGATGTCAAGTATAGCCCATCTCAGACTAAACTGTGCATAGGAATCCCTTGGGGGTAAGGGCGTGTAGATTCTGATGCAGTGGGTCTGGAGTGGGGTCTGAGAGTTTGCAGTTCTAACAAGCGCCCAGATGATACCAATGCTGTTGGCCATGGACCACACTTGAGTAGCCAGGGTGGTAGATAGTTTAATACTCATGAATTCGGAGGCTAAAAGGCCAGGCTAACCTTGACGAATTTGTGGATGGTCCAAGTACCAAAAAACAAAACAAAACAAAACACCAAACCAAACCCACTGACATCAAGTCAGTTCAACTCATAGCGACCCTATGGGGTTTCCAAGGCTATAAATCTCTATGGAAGCAGACTGCCACATCTTTCTCCTGCAGGGTCCAATTAGAAAGCCATTTTTGGATGAAGAAGGGTACTTCTTCTGAGAACAAGACTGAGAGGGGCTCTGAGGGAGTCTGGGGGTGGGAAGCATGCCCCTAAATGTCAGTATTCTCTTCTTTGACTCCACCTGCTCTGCACCCCTCTGATCACCACAGACAGTTTTGCCATGGGGCTGAACGCAGGACAATGACCCGGCCCAATGCTCTGGATCGCTGCCGAGGGAAGCTGCTGGTGCATAGCCTGGTATGGGCTGGACTGGGGGAAGCGGGATTAAGGGGAACTACCTGGGGCCCTCTACTCATGCTATGTTCCTACCCTTCCAGAACCTACTGGCAAAGCAAGGACTACGACTTCTGCAGGGCCTGAGACCAGGCAACGTGCAAGAGAAGGTAGTACTGGCCAAGAAGCTCCTGGCAAAACTGTGCTTCCTGGCCCAGGAGGTAATGCCTCATTCACCCCATTCCCCACCCCTAAATACTCTTGCTGCTAAGCTTTTGAGCTGTTCTAGAGATCTCTGGGCAGATATGGCTTAACGTTTGTCCTGGGGTATGATGCCAGGATCCATGGGACCCACCGCTCTGGGCACAGGACCAAGGTCCATTTGGAGCAGCTAAGGGTGAGGATGAGAGTCCCAGTGCCTGGCAGGGGATCTCTTTGGATAAAGATTTGAGGGTGGCTACATTCCCTTGGGAGCTCTGAACATGATATGTGAATGGTGAAGGGGGTTCACATTTTTGGAGCATCCTCTGTGTAAGCATCTGCATATGTTATCTTGTATGATCCTCCCAACAACCCTGGGAGGTAGTTACCCCATTTGACAGGTACAGAAATGGAAGCTTAGGGAAACTGACTAGTCTATCATGTTACATTTGGTAAGTGGCAAAGCTGGAATTCAAAGGCTGCTCTGCTTGACTCTGAAACTCAGTCCTTCTCAAAGGCACAGGATGTTTTGACTACTTGGGTCAGTTTGTCCTCAGGGTCACACAGTGAGGAGACTGAGGCAAATATGTATCTCCAGAAAGAGACATTCCCCTTCTTATGCCAGACTCTAGAATGAGAGCTGAGTTCTTATGCTCTGTAATTGAACTGGACTTTGTTGCGGATTTGGTTTGATTCAGTCCACCTCTGGCTTCAATTGTTTTGATGATGGGATCAGGACTTTCTTTCATTCAGGCCTAGAGTTGGTGAGCATGGGCAAGATTCCAGAAATCCACCTATGCTTTCAGTCTGTGGGGGATCTCTGACTGTTTTACAAACCATCCACTAGGTTTTTCAGTATCTGGGGAGTGTTTTTTGCTCTCCAGTCCTGCCTCCTGATCCCTGCATCTTGGAAGATATCTTTCAGTCCTGCTTCCCCTTCCCTGGTCTTTGAAGAGTATCCACTCTACACTCTGAAAGTCCAGAATGCCTCAGAGAGATTTCTCTTGGCTCTCCAGCTAAGCCTTCAACATTTGGTACTTAGTGCCTGGGAGAGGTTTCTTTCAGCTCTCCTGACTCACCTTTCTTTTTCAGTAGCTGAAATTCCAGAGGGCTACTGACAGATTTCTCTCATCTCTTCTGCTCTACCACCTACTTCAAAGGGTGGTTACTTTGTACTTGTGAGAGAAGCCCCATGTGCTTCAGGAAGTATCTCTCAGCTCTCCTTCCCTGCTCCCAGCTTACGGCATACTACCCCTTAGCTCTAGGTAAAAATCATAGGAAAGAGTTGGTAGGTAGATATAGACTTGCTTTGTGGCTGGGGTCCTTGAAATGCTAATTTGGCGTGCTACCTCATATATGGCCATTAAAGAGTCTTAAAAGTAGTGTGGTTTCTCCTTATCTCCAATTTTGACAGATTCATTTTTTTGTTGTTGTTAAATCAGCTTTGAGATATAATTCACACGCCACACAGTTCATTCATTTGAAGTGTACAATTCAATAGTTTTAAGTATATTCACAGATACAACCATCACCACAGTCAATTTTGGAATATTTTCATCACCTCAAGAAGAAACTCTGTGCACTTTAGTTATCACCCTTCTATCCCCCACCCCCCTCAGCCTCTAGGCAACCACTAATCTACTTTGTTTCTATAGATTTCTCTATTCTAGACCTTCATATGAATGAAATCATATAATATGTGAAGTTTGTGACTGATTTTTTTCACTTGGCATGATGTTTTCAATGTTTATCCATGCTGTAGCATGTATTAGTACTTCATTCCTTTTTATGTCTGAAAAATATTCCATTGTATGGGTATACCATTGTTTATCCATTTGCCCATTGGTGGACATTTGGGTTGTTTCCACCTTTTGGCTATTATGTATGCAGCTATGAACATTTGTGTACAAGTTTTTGTGTGGATATATGTTTTTATTTCTGTTGGGTATATACCTAGGGGTGAAATTGCTGGGTCATATGGTAAGACTATATTTAATCATTTGAGGAACTTAAGACTGTTTTGTGAAGGGGCTGCATCATTTTACATTCCCATCAGCAGTGTATGAGGGTTATGATTTCACCACATCCTGCCCATTTACAAAATTATGAGTTTTTAAAAAAATTAAATTGCAGGTGGTTTTTTAAATATATATATATATATATCTCCATCCTGGATACTAGTACTTTTTATGTATATTTTCTCTCAGTCGGTGGATTGCCTATTCATCTTCTTAATGGTTTTGTTTTTTTTTTAATTTTATTGTGCTTTAGGTGAAAGTTTACAGTGCAAATCTATTTGTCATTTCAAAAATTTATATATAAATTGTTTTGCGACATTGGTTGCAATTCCCACATTGTGTCAGCACTTTCCCTTTCCAGCCGGGTTCTCCATGTCCTTTCATCCAGTTTTCTTCTCCCTTCCTTCCTTCTTGTCTTTGCTTTTGGCCAGGTGTTGTCCATTTGGTCGCGTATACTTGATTGAACTAAGAAGCATGTTTCTCAAGTGTGTTGTTGTTTTATAGGCCTGTCTAATCTTTGGCTGAAAGGTGGACTTCGGGAGTGACCTCAGTTCTGAATTAGCAGGGTGTCTGTGGGCCATAGTCTAGAGGGTTCCTCCAGTCTTTGTCAGACCAATAAGTCTGGTCTTTTTGTGTGTATGTGAGAATTTGAATTTTGTCCTACATTTTTCTTCTGCCCTGTCCAGGACCTTCTATTGTGATCCCTTTCAGAGCAGTCGATGGTGGTAGCCAGGCACCATCTAGTTCTTCTGGGCTCAGGCTGGTGGCTTAATGGTGTTTTTTGAGGAAAATTTAAAAGAAGTTTTAAATTTTGATGAAGTCTAATTTCCAAATTTACCTGATTTTTCTTTATGTTTACAGCTTTCTGTCACCTGTTTAAGAAACCTTTGCCCTTCTCCAAATCACAAATATATTCTTTGTTTTCTTCTAAAAGCTTTACGGTTTTATATTTTACATTTAGATCTTTGATTGTTCTCAAGTTAATTTTTGCATATGGTATGACATATGGGTAGGTTCATTTTTTTTTTCTCCCAATATGGATATCCAGATATTCTAGCACTATTTGTTGAAAAGATTTCCATTCCCCATTGGATTGCTTTGGCTTTTTTTTTAATTGAAAATCAGAAGACTGTATAAGTGCCTCTATTGAATTTTAATTTCAATCATTGCACTTTTCTTTTCGGCAAGTACGATTTTTTTTCAAATCCACTACGTTATTTTCCATAGTTTCTTATTCTCAATAAATATTTGTCAAGTTTGTCTTTTGTTAAAACGTAGTAAGCATGTTGTTTTTATAATATCAGATGAGTCCAGTATTACATTTTTTTTTTTTGTTCACTTCATTTTGCTGTCTGTTTCTGCTGGTACTCCTTCACAGTATTTTGTTTCCTTCTGTGCTTTTGACTATTAACTTCTCATTTTCCTTAAAAAATAATTTGTAGGAAGACTAATGGACCACAACCACCACAGCCTCCACCAGTCTGAGTCCAGCACAACTAGATGGTGCTCAGGTACCATCACTGACTGCTCTGATAGGGATCACAACAGAGGGTTCCGGACAGAGCTGGAGAAAAAAATACAGCAACATTCAAACTCACAAAGAAAGGCCAGACTTACTGGTCTGACAGATAGTGGAGAAACTCCAAAGAGTATAGCCCCTGGACACCCTTTTAACTCAGTACTGAAATCACTCCTGAAGTTCACCTTTCAGCCAAAGCTTAGACAAGCCTATAAGACAAACAATAACACATGTAGTTCAACCATGTATACGAGACCAAATGGGCACACCAGCCCAAGGGTAAGGATGAAAAGGCAGGAGAGGACAGGAAAGCTGGATGAATGGAAATGGAGAACCCAAGGTCGAGAAGAGGAGAGTGTTGATGTGTTGCGGGGTTAGCAATCAATGTCACAAAACAATATGTGTATTAATTATTTAATGAGAAACTACTTTGCTCTGTAAACTTTCACCTAAAGCATAATAAAAAATAATAATAATTTGTGGGAATTCTTTCAGTCCTAGAATAAAGGTACATTCTTCCAAGAAACATTACTTTGCTTTTGCCTTAGATCACCTTAAACAAAATTTTAATGTATAGCACCACTCAGGCACTGTGAAAAGATCAGCTGTAGTTACGCATTCTCAGGAATAATCTCCAGCCGCCACGATTCCACTCAACCAGGAAACCGTCCTTGTAGATTCCCGGGTGTGAGTGTGGGGCAGGTTTATGTATGGTTTACCTTTAGCCTGAAGGCATAGTTCTTTGGGGTCCTAGCTTTCTGGGTGTGGGGGTGGGGAGATCTCCTATTAACTCCTTTCCCTGAGTGGGATCTGAGCTTTTTAATTTGTTTTTACTCACTGTTAGGTCACGTAAATCTCAGGTTTGCCAGAGATCTTGTGGCAATAGCATTAAAGCTTAAGTGCTCTGCTAACCTCTCTGGGTTCCCATATTCACTTAGAGCTTGCTCTGGTAATTTTTTACTCTTATTATCTCACCATTGCCTTTAGTGAAATATTTTACTCAGACATTTTAGTTGTTTTTATTGGGAGGTTCGTCTTAATTCCTTAGCCTATGATATTACTGGAAATATATGAAGTCTGGATGATGACTTTGAACAAAGGAAAGAGAGGGTCAGATTTGTACTTTTGAGAGATTAGTTCTAGCCTTTGTTTGCTTACTCAGTGACACCTGAAAGCCTGCTATGTGCCAGGCTCTGTATTAGACTCTGGAGATCCAGCCTGTCATGTTCCTTACCCTTTTGGAGCTTATGTTCTAGTAAGACAGACATAACTCTGTAAATGAATAAGAAAAATAATTACCATCTGTAAGAGTCACTAATAAAGATGTTATAAAGGCTAAGGGGAGAGGAGTGTAACTTGGTCAAGGATAGCTTCTCTGAGGACGTGCCATTTAAACTGAGACCCAGAGAATGGGAAGAAGCCAATCCTTCGTGGTAGAGAATGGGTTGGGAGGAAAGACTGAAGGCAGGAAGACTGGGTATGAGGCTGTCACAATTGTCTGGAGAAGAGTTATGGTGGCATGGATTGAGCAATGAGGAATGGAGAGAAGGGGGTAATTGGCCAGACTGGATGTTCGAGGAGAAGGATGACACCAGCTCAGGTATTTGGCTGATGTAAATGGGCATATTGTGGGGAACACTGGTGAAGGATCAGGCTGGGAAGGAAGGAAAGGTAAAGAAGTCAGTTGGACATTGAGTCTGATGTCATCTGTGGGGCACCCAGGAGGCAGGTGACCACATGGATCTGGCTTCAGGGGGAGGTCGGGGCTGGAGATGGATATTTAGTCCATCTGACTTTGAAGCTATGGGAGCAGATGGACTCAGCTCCCAATCCACCCCTGTGACCCAGTTTTCTGCCCTGCAGCCCCAGCCACCCGTCCCTGATGTGCTGGTCTGGATGTTCAGTGGGCGACGCCGTGTGGCCTGGGCCCGGATTCCCGCCCAGGATGTGCTGTTCTCTGTGGTAGAGGAGGAGCGGGGCCGGGACTGTGGGAAGATCCAAAGTCTGCTGCTCACAGTGAGGAGGGCCAGGGGAACGGGGACTAAAGAGGGGAGATGCTCATAGGGCAAGGGCGGGGCATTGAGGGTAGAGGTCAGTGGTTCCCAGCCAGGTTTCCCCAAAATCTTTTCAGTTGTCCAAAAAGCTGGAAAGGAAATTGTGCCATTACCCATAGCAGCTTTGAAGTAAGCTACACAAAAAAATTTTGTTAGCTCTGCGCCTGCACCAGCCCTTTTGTTGATGAGGCTCTGAGAGATGGGCAGAGTAATAAAAATGGAGAATGATTAATTAGTTCCTTACAAGTACAGCTGGTTTAGGGCAAAATAGTCCTAAGTGAGTTTTCCCTGGAAAACATACCCAAAGGGGTCCCTAGTGATGAGAAGCCTTGGGGTAGGAGAGAGTGAATGTAAAGGTGTTGGGATAGAGTGAGCGAAGAGGATGAGTGTGGTGTGTGGGAGTGCAGGGCTCAGAGTGTAGTTTGGGGATATGGGGTTGCAGGGTGTAGGAAATGACAATGTCAGGGCAGAAGGTATAGGGAATGGGAGCATAAGAATAATGGAGTGTAGGACGGAGGGTATCAAATGGAGTATAAGGGTGGAGGTGTAGGGAATGTTCCTTGGATTAGAGAGCTGGGAATAGTTTAGCAATGCAGACAGTAGGGGTATGCCTTGGGGGAGCAGTCTTGTTGGTCTTAGAAGAGGTATCTAGGACCCTAACATACCTTCTCCCCACAATAGGCACCTGAGGCTGCCCCTGGTGAGGTCTGTGCCAAGCTGGAGCTCTTTCTGTGGCTGGGCCTGGGCAAGCAAGCCAAGGCCTGCACCTCAGAGCTACCCCAAGACCTGCTGCCTGAGCCCTCGGCTGGGCTGCCGCAGAACCTGTACCGGGATGGTGAGTACAGGTGGAGGGATAGGGCACGGGCCCAGACTATTTGCCCAAGATGGGGGGCTAGGTGCTCAGCTGTGGGTTAGGAGCGGTCTGGGGCCAGGACTCCAGTGGTCCCCTGAGCAAACATGGCCCCTCCCTTCTCCCATACACCAGACTTCAGCTATTTCCAGCTCCGAGCTCACTTGTACCAGGCCCGAGGTGTGTTGGCAGCGGACGACAGTGGTCTATCAGACCCCTTTGCTAGAGTCCTCATCTCTACCCAGTGTCAGACCACCAGGGTGAGGGCTGGGATGGGATATGGGTGTTTGGGGGGAGGTCTCTGGGAGACAAGGTGGGATGGGGGTCTGAGCTTCTCCCCAAGGCCCTAAGACTCTCTTCCTGCCCTGGATTTTCAGGACAGGATATTATATTGGACTTGACTTAGAGGATGGCATGGAACTAGAGGGCCTTAGGGGTAAGGGGTTGGGTTCTAGGGTTGACTTTAGGACTAGGTCCTGAGGGTGGCAGATTATAATAGGGAGTGACTAGGGGGAGAAGGGGTAGGCTCCAACACCAATCTGGAGGTTCCTTACATCTTCATCACATTCTTGCCCTATTTAAAGTATTACTTTAGAGTCAGGGACACTGACCTGGAATGTGTGTTATAAGACTTCTGACATCGGCTGTTACCTCCTTCCCTGCCTGGCCTCCAAGGTCCTGGAGCAGACACTGAGCCCTCTGTGGGATGAACTCTTGGTATTTGATCAGTTGATCGTGGATGGGAGGAGGGAGCACCTACAGGAGGAGCCTCCCTTGGTGGTCATCAATGTCTTCAACCACAATAAGTTTGTGAGTGTGGCCTGGGCCCCACCTAGGTTCTGACCCTGAGCCCCCCACCCCTGGTTTGTGAGCCTCTTTCCTTCTTGTCTTCATTGCCCTGCTCCCTGCAGGGTCCCCCTGTGTTCCTGGGCAGGGCCCTGGCTGCCCCAAGAGTAAAGCTGATGGAAGAGCCATACCAACGCCCTGACCTGCAGTTCTTCCCCCTGAGGAAGGGGCCCTGGGCAGCTGGAGAGCTCATTGCCACCTTTGAACTCATTGAACTGGACTACAGTAGCCAGCTTGAGGTCAGAGTACCTTGGTCTAGCTGGCACAGGCTGCAGGCCCATCCTGTTATTCCATTAGGCATGAGCATGTCCCAGAGTTACCCTACTAGGTCCCTTACCCCCAGAAAATGCAAGTCTGTCCTAGAATTACCTCAGTGGACACCCTGGCCCTAGGGAACACTAGAAGTAGATATACACTAGGTTCACCTTGCCAGACCTCCAACCTCAGAGGACCCAGGCTGTGGGTTATTCCTGGGGTCACTCCATCTCGCATGGCTCAGACACTCAGTTTCCGTTCCTGTGCATGGCTGATTTCTTAGACACCCCTCTCCCACCAACCCAGCTTTGCCCAGTTTATTTGGACTTATCTCCTCAAGTAGCCCTCCACATGCATCCCCCAAGCCCCCAAGCCTTCCCTCCTTTGGCCTAATTCCTTCTTGACCTCTGACCTCTTGCCCTCTGCAGCCCTCAGTGCCCAGTGATGTGGAGCCCCAGGACCTGACAACCCTGGTCCAGCCCCTCTCTGGATGCATGTCCCTGCCACACAATGTGCGCCCGGTGCTCAGGGAGTTCCGTGTTGAGGTAGCACCTGGCACTCGCAGACCCCTCACTTCCCCACACCTGAGTGTCCCTCTGTCAGGTGCAGGCCCCTGAATCTCCTACTTCACCACCGCAGGTGCTGTTCTGGGGTCTGAGGGGCCTCGGCCGTGTGCATCTGTTTGAGGTGGAGCAGCCCCAGGTTGTGCTGGAGGTGGCCGGGCAACGTGTGGAATCCGAGGTTCTGGCCAGCTACCATGAGAACCCCAATTTCACCGAGCTCGTCAGGCATCTGACAGTGGTGAGGGCGCAGGTTGCGGGGCAAGGAGTGCTGGGCTGAGAAGTGAAATGGGCAGTGGAATGCCGAATTCCCAGCTGGCTACCTTAGATTAATTTAGAGGATGGCAAATTTTTTCTGTAAAGGGCCAGATAGTAAATATTTCAGGCTTTGTGGGTCATATGGTCTCTGTCACAACTACTCAACTCTGCCACTGTAACGCAAAAGCAGTCATAGGCAATACTTAAATGAATTAATATGACTGTGTTCCGATAAAACTTTATCTACAAAGATAGGCAGTAGGCTGGATATGTCCTGTGGGCCAGAGTTTGCTGACCCCTGGATTGCTCCATGGGCTGGTGGTGCCTTCTTGGCTCGATTGGATGAGTGGATTAGCCAAGCATCATGAAGGATGAGTCCTGTACTTAGTGAAGGAATCTAGTCTCTGAGACACCAGGGGCTGAGAAGAAAAATACATTCTTTGTGTAATTTGTAATTACTGTAGGATGGACTTGGGGCCCTGGTGGCACAGTGGTTAAGAACTACGGCATGCTATGGCTGCTAACCAAAAGGTCGGCAGTTCAAATCCACCAGCCGCTCCTTGGAAACACTGTGGAACAGTTCTACTCTGTCCTATGGGGTCACTGTGAGTCGGAATTGACTCAACAGCAATGTGTGAGTCTATGGTAAGATGGACTTTGGAGTCAAATTCTGGCAATGCCACTTATGAGCTTGTCAAATCACTTGTCTTATTTGAGCTTCAGCCTTTCTATCTATACAAAAGAAAAAGGTTGGAGGGAAATATACCAGGTATCTCCTTGCAGGAGTGCTGTGTGGAGCCATTGAGAGAAGCGATCTTGGTGAAAGGGCTTTGTAAACTGAAAAGTGCAGTGCCTGTGTGAGGGGGTCACAGACAAAGCACAGTGATTCCAGACTACTCAGTGGCCAAACAAATAAACAAAAAACATCACCATTTTATGACTGTTTCACATGCAAGAGCTTTCAGTTTGAAATCTTCATTGTGCTATAAGATGATGAAACTGAAAGCAGGTTGCTCATTGAACTGCAGGGGGTGTTTCCTCTCATTTCTTATTTCATACTGCAAATGGGGGAACCCACACCCCTTTTTCGATATTCTTTGGTTTCTATCCAACTCAGCAAGAGGTGAGCTGTCCTATTTCGCGGTAAACCTCCTCCCAAAGATAATTTTATAAGCAGTAGTTCTTCAAAGGCTTTTTAAACATATTTCTTCTACAAAAGAAATATTGCAATCATATGCCAAAATACTAGGAAAAAGAGGTCTTTGAATCTAAAGTGTCTCTTTTTTTTTGTTGCATCTTGTTGTTTTTTTTTTTAATCCAGTCTGACAATCTCTGCCTTTTGATTGCAGTGTTTGCTATAGTCACATTTAACATTACTATTGATATGGTTGGATTTATGTCTCCCATTTTGCTATTTGTTTTCTATATGTCTCTTATTTTTTGTTTCTCTGTTCCTCCTTTACCGCCTTCTTTTGTATTAAATAGATATTAGGCGTACTATTTTAATTCTTCTTTGATTTTTACTTAGTAGTTACTCTGGTGATTACAATATGCATATTAATTTATCACAGTCTACTTCAGATTAATGGTAATTTAATGCCAGTAAAATACAGAAACTTCTTCATCTCTCTATTGTGATATCATTGTTATATATACAGTGAAAACTGTGAGATCTGGAACTTGATGAACTTCCTTATTTTTCCGTGTCTCACAAGTTTACCACCTTTGACAGGGTGCAGCATTACCACTTTTCTATCGCTTGCTTTAGTGGAAAATACTTGAGTTTTCCTTCTCTGACAGGTTTCTAGGTTTCGGCTTTTGCAGATTTTACTGTATATTTATAAAATAAACCTAGCAATACAGCATTATAATTATTGCTTTTTTTCCCCTTAGGATCCACTGATGGATGTAGAATTCTTGGGCTAAAGGCCATAAATATTTCTATGGTTCTAAATTTACACTAGCAAATTCAGCATTGGTCCTTTACATAATAACAACAACCCCATGTGTCTGATAGCACTTTGTAGGTTCCAAAGTCCTTTTGCATCTATTACGTCATTAGATACTCATAATAGTCCTTTGAATCTGAGATTGTGTTCCGTTTTCAGCCGGGGAACAGGCTCCGAGAAGGCCATGACTTGCCAGATATGCACAGTGGGGCTACAGCAGAGCTGGGCTAGAATGCAGACTTAGATTTCATTTTCCCATCTGCCTTGGCTGCTGCCTCTCTCTCCTCCACAATCTTCTGTCTCTCCACCCCCAGGACTTGCCAGAGCAGCCTTACCTGCAGCCCCCACTCAGCATCCTGGTGATTGAGCGCCGGGCCTTTGGCCGCACAGTCCTCGTGGGTTCCCACATTGTCCCCCACATGCAGCGATTCACACTCCGGGGTCATGAGCATCCCTTCAAGGAGGAGGAGGAAGAGGAGGAGATAATGGACCGGGTACCCATGGGACCTCAGGGTAAGAGGCCTTCCCCCTAGAGGCCACCAGACAGAAGTCCCCCTGGCTCCTGGCAGAGATGGCTGTAGGGGAGACTACAGAGGGCACTGGAGTCTGGCTTGTACTCATCTGACCTCCTCATGGTGTCATTTCCCCCCTCCCAGGACAGAAATCCCTGGATTCCTCCTTGGCTGAGGGGAGGTTACCTAGACGGCTCCTCAAGGTGATGGGGTATAGCAGATGGTTGGAGAAGGGGCTAGCAGGGCTTGGGTGGTACTGGGTTAGGGGGGCTGAATCCTTTATCCCTCAGGCTCCTCTGAAGAAGCTCCCCCTGGGAGGCCTCATGAATCAAGGCCCTGAGCTGGAGGAAGATATCCCGGATCCCGAAGAGCTCGACTGGTGGTCCAAGTACTATGCATCACTGCAGGAACTCCAGGGGCAGGTGAAGCAGGGGAGAGTCCCAGGGTGGGGTAAATGGCAAGAGGAATGATCTCATCAGACATGGAGCTCTATAGGTTTCTGACATTACAGACATCTTTTTTCAACCTCACCACAATTCTAGAGCTATGCTGCCCAATAGAAATGTAATGTGAACCACCTATGTAATTTAAAATTTTGTAGTAGCCACATTGAAAATAAATAAATAAAAGGAAACTAGTAAAATTAATTTTAATAATATTATTTTCTTTCGTATATCTAAAATACTATCATTTCAACAATTAATAAATATAAAAAAATTATTGAGATATTTTACATTCTCTTTTTCATACTAAGTCTTAGCTCATCTTAATTCAGACTAGCCACATTTCAAGTGCTTAATAGCCACATGAGCTGGTGGCTACCATATTGGACAGTGTAGGACTAGATGATAAACTGAAGCTTTGATAGCTCTGCAAGTGGCTTGCATAGCTGGAACTAAGGTTTCCCAACCCCTTACCCTGGAAAAGGGATAGATTAAAGGGGTGAAAAGGATGAGAAGGAATTTCTGATCTGTCCTTTGATTTCAGCATAACTTTGATGAGGATGAAATGGATGATCCTGGAGAGTCAGGTAAGAGATTTGGCTTTCTTGCTCTTGCTCTGTCTCCCACTAGACATTTCTAACTGGGACATTTCTGCTCTTCCCAGATGGGGTCAACCTCATTTCTGTGGATAAGGAGGCCCAAGACCAGCGTGAGGCTAAAGTCGAGGGCTCCGTGTCCCAGAAAAAAGCAATGGCCACCCTGAAGGTAACTGGGTGTCAGGAAAAGGGGAGTCTCCTTGGATTCTGGACATTGGGTTGTCATCACCGAGGCCCTCGCCTTTCAGATCTACAACAGCTCCCTGGAGGAAGAGTTTAACCACTTTGAAGACTGGCTGAATGTGTTCCCCCTCTACCGAGGGCAAGGGGGCCATGATGGAGATGGAGAAGAAGAAGGGACTGGACAATTTGTTGGCAAGTTCAAGGTATGTTTAGGGAAAGAAAGGGGGACCCTGGGAGCACAGGTGGGGATTTAGGAGAAAAACTCTAGCTCTTACCAAGACCTTTTCTGTCCTCCCACCCCCACCCCTAGGGCTCTTTCCTTATTTACCCTGAATCAGAGGCAATGTCACTCTCTGAGCCCCATATCTCCCGGGGGATCCCACAGAACCGGCCCATCAAGCTCCTGGTCAGAGTATATGTTGTAAAGGTGAGCATCTGTAGCTCGGGTGTGTCTCCAACTCCAGTAAATGCTACCACTGAACCATGACTGCCTCAGGTTGAGGGGGGTGGAAGGAGAAATCTCCCCTAAGAATTTATGACCTAAAGCTGGCTTTAATGCAGTGTTGGACCTGAACTCCCACAATCTGTGTGACTCCCCAAAACCTCAAATGGGAATTTTAATTTAAAGTGGTTTCAGGCTGGTAGCTTGCCCAGGAAACTGGCAGAAGCAAAAGTTAAACCCTCTCCGGCAGAGGGCATCCACAGTTCAGGCCCTCAGGATTCTTACTAATTAGTTAAACCAAATATGAGTCATGATAAAAAGTACAAAATACAAGGAAACAAGCCACCATAAATAAGGATTAGCAAAATACCAATAAATTCAGACCTTTGGGAGTCTGAATTGCTATTGGATATTGGAATGACTAGATAGAGAATATAAGATAAATATGTATGAAATATTTCAAGAAATAAAATTTTACATACAGTAAAATTCACCCTTTTTAGTGATTTTACACTCCTACCAGCAATATAGGAGTGTAATTTCAGATCAAGTGTAAACAGGAAGTTGCTTAGGACAGATCTCCCACTGAAAGGAGTTAACAGAGAGTATGGGTGAAATGACTTTTTTTTAAAATTAATTATGAAATACCTGAGACGCACCAAAAGCTTTTACTAAAATATAATGAAACAGAAAATATTTGGAAGGAGTGTAGGAGTGTAAAATCACTAAAAGTGAATTTTACTGTATGTAAATTATACTCCAATCACTGACGCACAAGTTATATATGTTTACTAAATTGCATCCAAGCCAAAACCAAACCTGTTACCATCGAGTCGATTCCAACTCATAGCGACCCTTATAGGACGGAGTAGAACTGCCCCATAGGGTTTCCAAGGTTGTAGTCTTTACGGAAGCAGACTGCCACACATCTTTCTCCCATGGAGCGGCTGGTGGTTTCAAATCACGGACCTTTCGATTAGAAGCCAAGAGTTTAACTACTGCTCTACCAGGACTCCTTCTATTTGCATAGTTATCAAAAATAGAAAAAAGCAAATCAAATACATACAGTTTAAAAACTAAGCTATCTATTGCTTAGGAATACGTGTACCTATAGTAAAAGAATGTGTGTGAATGATAACCCCAAGTACAGGGTTCTGGTTACCTTGAGGTTAGGAAGGCCATGAGATCAGGTATTTAGGGGGATTCAATTTGTTTATAATGTTTTATTTATTAGGCTGGGCACACACCTGCTCATTGTATTATTCTCTTATTTAGTTAAAATATTCTTAATTATAAAAGTTAAATATGCTCATTATAAAAAATAGAAGTCAATCAATACAGAAATTTATAAATTGAATAGTAAGTTTCTTATACATCCTTCCAAATATTTTCTACATTTCTTTATATTTTAGTAAAAGCTTTTGGTACGTCTCAGGTATTTCATAATTAATTTAAAAGAAAAGTCATTTTACCCATACTCTCTGTTAACTCCTTTCAGTGGGAGATCTGCCCTAAGTAACTTTCTGTTTACACTTGATCTGAAATTAGGTCCAACAAGGGTAACCTTGGGCTATGATGAGGACGCTTCTCCCAATTCCACTCCATACTGTCCCCCTAGGCTACCAACCTGGCACCCGCAGATCCCAATGGCAAAGCAGACCCCTATGTGGTAGTGAGCGCTGGCCGGGAGCGTCAGGACACCAAGGAGCGCTACATACCCAAGCAGCTCAACCCCATCTTTGGAGAGTAAGTCTGGGTCCTGAGAGGGAGAAGGGAAATGGCAGAGCAACTTTGCAGTCCAGTCCTGTGGCCCAAGGGCACTCAGTCAGGTAGTTGGTGGGGGGTTGGGGGTGGACAGAGGCCACTGAGACCCCTGACCACCCTTAGACTACCTCCTAGGGCATGGAGGTGTCCTCAGCCACTCTCCCTCCTGGCCAGGGTCCTGGAGCTCAGCATCTCTCTCCCGGCCGAGCCTGAACTGACTGTGGCCGTGTTCGATCATGACCTCGTGGGCTCTGATGACCTCATTGGGGAGACCCACATCGATCTGGAAAACCGATTCTACAGCCACCACAGGGCAAACTGTGGGCTGGCCTCCCAGTATGATGTGTGAGTCCAGCAGGCCCCTCAGGAGCCCATTCTGAGTCTCTGGCCAAACACATTCAAGCTCCACACTCTCATGTCTCCAGACTCTATGATTTCATAGAAAGGGATCCCCTCACAACCAAGATGTAGCTTAGTGGTCAAGACTCTGGGTTGGGAGTTGGGATTCTGCAACTAACAAGTCACTTGACCTCTCTGAGCCTCAGTTTCCTCATCTGCAAAATGGAAATAATAATGTCAGTATCTCCTTCATGGGAGCACCTAGCATATATCTTTGATTTTCATCTTCACTGTATATGAGGACTAACCTTTCTCCCACTGGAGTTACGAACCTGTATCCCATGTCTTTAAGAGTTCCCATCCCAGCTCCTATGCCCAACTGTGTCCGTATACTAGGCATACCTGAGGCCCTTCCTCTTCTGCCCACAGAGACGGGTACAACGCTTGGCGCGATGCATTCCAGCCTTCACAGATCCTGGCGGGGCTGTGCCAACGCTGTGGCCTCCCTGCCCCTGAATACCGAGCCGGGGCTGTCAAGGTGGGCAGCAAAGTCTTTCTGACACCGCCTGAGACCCTGCCCCCAGGTACCAGCCCCTCTCTCCTGGACAGGCCAGAGGTAGCAAGATGGTGGTAGAACAAGGTACAGGGGACCCTGGTGCCCAGTCTAATCTCCCCCTAAAAAGGGCCGGCTTCCTTCTGCAAGCAGGAGGTGAGTTTGATGAAGTTCTTGAATGGTGGGGGAGGAAGTAGTCTTCTTTGTTGGTGTACATGAGCTCCCCAAAGAACAAAGAACAAAAGTAGACCCCCTCAGAGCCATAGCTAATGGAGTTCCCAGAACATAGTGTGACCCCAAAGGGAGTCCCATACAACAGAATGTGGCTGCAGAATTGAGCTCATGCCTTATAAATGGCTGGTGGCCTGTTCTCTAAACAGCATCTCCCCTACTTTTTGTGCTTTGTGGACTTGTCCTCCCAGCCCGTAGGCTTCATCCAACACAGCAGCTGCCTCAGCTTAGAGTGTGGACTGGTGGGGAGGGGATGTGGGAAGGCAAGGGAAGAGAGTTGCGGACTGTGTGGAACCCAAGCTGACACACTTCTTGTGTCAGGTAGGGGAGGCTCCAAGGTGGCAAGTGGAGCCCCTGAAGAGGAACAGGCATTGTTTGTGCTGCGGTGCTGGCAGGAAATGCCGGAGCTGGGGATCCAGTTGGTACCTGAGCATGTAGAAACACGGCCCCTCTACCATCCCCGCAGCCCGGGGCTGCTGCAGGTGAGGGAGGGCCCAGCAGTCAACCCTAGAATCCCAAGACTTCCAGAATGCCAGGACTCCCACCTGATCCTGGACCCAGGCCCCCAGAATACACTTTCGTCCAGACCTCCACCTTGGATCTCCATTCTGGACCTCATACCCCTGCCCCTGACTCTGGTCCTGCAAGATCCCCACCCCAAGGCCACCAAGGCTCAGATCCTGGGACTCCCAATGTGACCTCTACCCTAGATCCCTAAGATCTGGACCTTGGACACACCAGATCTCTTCTTTTGATTACAACTGTTGACTCTTGGGACCTTATCCCTCTCAGGGGAGGTGGGGACACTAGCAAGACCCTCCAGCCTGGTCTCGTGCCCCCAGGGATCCCTTCACATGTGGATTGACATCTTCTCCCATGATGTGCCTGCTCCAGCCCCTGTTGACATCAAGCCTCGACAGCCAATCAGGTGAGAAAGAATTCTGGCCCCTCCCCCAAGGGGCAGACACATCTGGGTTTACTTGTACAAGGACCTTCTGAAAATCTGAGCCCAGGTTAAGAGGCAGAGGCTGCTCATACCAGGCTTTTCTGTAGTAATTACATTCCCTTTTTCTCACAAGGCATTGTGAGTTGGGTGTTTGTCACCTGCATCTGAAAGAGTCCAAATAACTTTCAGTAAACCCCCTTCTGACCTCAAGGAGTCTGAGTGGCGTTCTGTGTAGGGTGTGTCCACTGCAGACAGGACTGGATCCATATGCTTGGAAGTTGTCAGGAATCTGTCACTCCTTACCTCTGGGCTCTGCTTTCCTTGGGTGTCACTCTTTTTTTTTTTTTTTAAATTGTGCTTTAAGTGAAAGTTTACAATTCAAGTTAGTTTCTCATACAAAAATTTATACACACATTGTTATGTGACCCTAGTTGCTCCCCCTATACTGTGACAGCACACTCCTCCTTTCCACCCTGGGTTTCCTGTGTCCTTTCAACCAGCTCCTGACCCTCTCTACCTTCTCATCTTGCCTCTGGACGGGAGCTGCCCCTTTAGTCTCATGTATCTGCTTGAGCTAAGAAGCACATTCTTCACAAGTATCATTTTATGTCCCATAGTCCAGTCTAATCTTTGTCTGAAGAGTTGGCCTCGGGAATGGTTTTAGTTTTGGGCTAACACAGAGTCCAGGAGCCATGTCTTCTGGGGTCCCTCCAGTCTCAGTCAAACCATTAAGTCTGGTCTTTTTACTAGAATTTGAGTTCTGCACCCTACTTTTCTCCTGCTCCGTCAGGGACTCTCTGTTGTGTTCCCTGTCAGGGCAGTCATTGGTGATAACTGGGCACCATCTAGTTCTTCTGGTCTCAGGCTGATGGAGTCTTTGGTTTATGTGGCCCTTTCTGTCTCTTGGGCTAATATTTTCCTTGTGTCTTTGGTGTTCTTCACTCTCCTTTGTTCTAGGTGGGCTGGGACCAATTGATGCATCTTAGATGGCTGCTTGCTAGCTTTTAAGTCCCTAGTGGTGTCACTCTTAAAGAAGCTTCCGCATTCTGAGGACAGGGTGGTTTCCAACAGCACCAGACTTACATCTTACCAACTAGACCACTTCAATAGAAAAACAGAGAGCACCTCCTTCCTAGTTATAGCAAGTCTCAGGGTTGACTCTCATTGGACCAGCCTGGGGCAAATGCTGAACCCTGAACCAATCATTGTGGTTAAAGGGCTGGAATACACTGACTGGCTAGCCCTAGGTGATGTGCCCACCCCTGGAGCAAGGTAGGATCTACTCCACCAGAATCACATAGATTGACAGTGGTGGTGGTGGAGGGGTCACAAACAGAAAATCAGGGTGCTATCACCAAAATGGATGCTGGACTGGAGAAAACATCAGCTATCCAGGCAACCTTGTGACAGCCAAGGGCAGAACCATTTGGGGGTAGGAGCCAAATGTTGTAGCCCCTTCTTCTATCCCACAGGAGGTACATACTATCATCTCACTTCTCTATCTCGCCTTCTCCTACTTCTCTCTGCAGACTGGCTTTCTCTGTTTGCTCCTCTGCACCCCAGAACTTCAGCTTGCACATTACTTTGGCTTACAGTGGCTCCACCTTCCCATCTGATGAGACACAACTCAATTTTGCAAGGTCTTGATTCTAATTTATAGGAGGGAGAACCTAGATGTCCCAGCAGACCATTCCTGTTGCCATCGCTGTGGCTGGGGGGTCGGTGATACCTGGGGCCACCCCTTTATGGCATCACAGGCATCCTGATCACACAGCTGGGCACACATCAGGTGCTCGATGAATGTCAGGACCTTCCCGTAGCCCCTCCCAGGACCCCTCTCAAGTCTGAAAAGCACTCCCTAATTCATCCCCCAGCTATGAGCTCAGAGTCATCATCTGGAACACAGAGGATGTGGTTCTGGATGATGTGAACCCGCTCACTGGAGAGAAGTCGAGTGACATCTATGTGAAAAGGTAGGCCTGTGGCTGGGCCACTCGAATGGCTGTGCACTAAGGAGGATGGCTAATAGGAGCTTGGCCCTTGTGCTCAGTCACAGCCCTGTCGCCTAGGCCCTCTATGGGGCCTAGAGCTGGGCGAAGGGGGTGGCCTGGTGGGTGAACCAAGGGGAAGCTGGGTGAGGAGCCAGCTTCCGGGCTCTTCCACCCATTTGCCTTGCCCGTCCCTCTCCCCTGGTCCCAGCTGGGTGAAGGGGCTGGAGCACGATAAGCAGGAGACAGATGTTCACTTCAACTCACTGACTGGGGAGGGGAACTTCAACTGGCGCTTTGTGTTCCGCTTTGACTACCTGCCCACTGAGCGGGAGGTGACTGTCCGGCGCCGGCCTGGACCCTTCGCCCTGGAGGAGGCTGAGTTCCGGCAGCCTGCAGTGCTGGTCCTGCAGGTCTGGGACTATGACCGCATCTCCGCCAGCGATTTCCTTGGTACTGCTTAGTCTTCCTCTAACCTCAAACCCTATCCCTGATTTCTGCCCTCACTGCCCCTGCCCTCCTGACCCATCTTCCTTGTCCTTGGTTTCGTATCCTCTAACCCAACCTGAATGCCAGGGTTTCAGACCCTAGGTCACTAACCTTTTCTTTCTTGCCTAATTACTGAACTCACTATTAAGCCCTGCCCACAATAACCTCCATCCCACCCCAAGTCCCTCACTTAACCCTCTATTTGACCCTAACTCAAGTCACCACCTTGCTTTGGTCATTTGATCCCAATCCTTGGCCTTTGTTTCACTGGGCTCTAACAGTCCTTTGACATTTTGCCTGTGGCTTGGTTAGTCCATAGCTGTGGCCTAACCACCACATTCAAGCTTAGAACCCTGGTGTGTTGACCCCTCACCCTGGCCATGCCTGACTCTGACCTTTGGCCTTGCAGGATCCCTGGAGCTGCAGCTGCCCGACATGGTGCGGGGGTCCCGGGGCCCCGAGCTCTGCTCCGTGAAGCTGGCCCGCGATGGGGCCGGGCCGAGGTGCAACCTGTTTCGCTGCCGCCGCTTGCGAGGCTGGTGGCCAGTAGTGAAAATGCAGGAGCCAGAGGACTTGGAGCAGGAGGAGCGGGAGGCTAAGGCGGGCAAAAAGAGCCGGAGGCGGAGGAGGAGGAAAGGCCGGCCAGAAGACTTACAGTTCACGGACGCCGGAGGCAATGCGTACATCCTCACGGTGGGTGCGCCAGCGCAGGGAACCTGCCTCAGAGCTCAGCCTCTGTTCCCAGTGAGGCAAGAATGTCTTTTTCTAGGGGAAGGTGGAGGCAGAGTTTGAGCTGCTGACTGTGGAAGAGGCTGAGAAACGGCCAGTGGGAAAAGGGCGGAAGGAGCCGGAGCCCTTGGAGAAGCCCAAGTGAGTCAGGGGTCCTGGAAGCTGGGGGCTAGAGCCTGAGGAGTGGGGGAGGGGCCTCTCCGTCATCCTGATTCCCTCCCCCCACAGCCGTCCCAAAACCTCCTTCAACTGGTTTGTGAATCCGCTGAAGACCTTTGTCTTCTTCATTTTGCGCCGGTACTGGCGCATCCTGGTGGTGCTGCTGCTGCTGGCATTGATCACCGTCTTCCTCCTCCTCATCTTCTACTCTATGCCGGGCGAGATCAGCCAGGTCATCTTCCGCCCCCTCCACTGAGCCCATCCCGCCACCAAGGCCTTGGTCCCAACTGACCCTGGACACTCATCCCCAGCGCCAGCCCTTCAACTCCCACTTCAGGAAGTTCTTCCCACTGTGGGGAAGCGGCCAGTATGAGCTAAGCCAGTCACTGCTTCCTCTGAATAAAACTTCTCACATATTCACTCCGGCACCTGATTACATGCTTCGGAAGACTGACTCTTAACAGCTGGCAGAGAACAGAGATGTTTTGGTGACTTCAGGTGCTGGGGATTTAACTGGACCAATACACTGGGATGAAAGGCCGCCGACATGCCCTACCTCAGGGAAGAACAGGACTGGTAGGTTCAGAGTCGAGGAGCCCTGCAGTTAGTGACCCTGCCTGCTGCGCTATTGCTCCCCGTCACATCTACCCTTCTGCTTCTCCTGCCCCTGTCCATATCTGGGTCATTTTCACCTCATCTGCTTATGGCTTCTTTCTCTGACAACCAAGCATTTTATATACTTAATTATCTTGCTTATTCCTCACCAACCCTTAAAGTAGGCGTATCAGTTAGAATAGAAACTGATTTTGGTTGCAAGTGGTAGAAAACCCCATCCAAACTGGCTTAAGCAAAAACGGTAGTTGACTTGTATAATTAATTCCCAGGGTTTGGCTGGGGGCTTCAGGTGAGCTCGTCATAGGCTGCAAATGATGTCATCAAGACCCGGTTAGCCGTGCCTCTTGGCTCAGCTCTGCTGTCCTCTGGGGGGTGCCTCACTTGCAGACAGGCCCTCCTCTGGAGCTGCAGGATGAGCAACTCCAGACCTCACATCTTCCCACCTTCACATCCAGAGGCTAGCTTTCCTACTCCTAGCACAGCCTGGCTCACTGTGGCCAGGCGGATGAGAGATGCTGATTGGGCACTCCTCTAGAGTTGAGGGTGGGAGATCAACCCTCTCTACAAATTATATAAGCTGAGTGGATGCGGGGGTCCCAGAAGAAATCAGAATACGCCTAACAAGGGGGAATGGTTCCTGGGTGACGAAACACCACTCACTACAGCTGATGCTGTCATCCTTGATTTACTGAGACTGATGCCTGTAAGGGGGGATTAAATAATGTGTCCAAGGCCACAGAGCTTGTAAGAGATCAAATCAGAGATGGATCTCAGGTCTGTCTGCAGAGACATAACACATGGGGTTGCCACATGTTGGAAACCACTTGACAGCAGGTGGTAAACTCTATTCTGCTTTCTCTCTCTGCTTCTCCCCCTCCTACTCTGTCTTACACTGAAACTCGCTGAGAGATGATCTGATTCACCAAACCAGTTGTTACCATCGCTGGCTCCCTGGGCTGGGCCTTAGTTCACATGTAGAAAGGGCTATCATGGGAAGGTCTGGTGCTAGCCCTGCTCCAGAATGGTCACTGTGACCTTCCTTCCCCCAGTTTTTTAGCTCTGCCTCCACCTAGGAGACTGCAGAGGATCTGGCTGGAGCCCGCATGGAGCCTGGCACAGAGCAGGGTCAGGGAGCATGAGCGCATCAAGTGACTAAGCCCAGGATGTCACGGAGAGGTCCCACTTTTAGCCTTCATTGAAGAAGTGGCAAGCCCCAGCCTGAACCCAGGGCCTTTATTACCAGTAGAGCGGGACACTCACGTGCCTGGAGGCTATTGTGGTTCCCAGGAGCTCAGCCTGGAAAGGCCTGATGGGGCCCCAAAGGCCACAGCAGAGGAGGGACTGAGGATGGTGAGGGCATCAGTCTGGTTAAATAAAGCCCTATTAGCCAGGGGATGCCCAGGAAGGGCTCCCAGAGGGCACCTGGGCCCTGATGCTGTCAGTCATGACTGCTTTCAACGGTGGCTGTAATGAGGGGTTGTTCCCAGGCCCCAGCCAGACCACTGGCTGCTGGAGCTCCAAAGATCACACAGAAACCAGCAAGTACTATCACAATCAATAGATTTAATCAACCTGGGACTGAGACAGCTCTCTGAGTAGGGTAGGGGGGGTGGAAGAGGCTGGGGAAAATGACCACAAGGCCAAAGAGAAAAAAGAGAGAAGGAACAGCACAGAGGGAAGGGGCAACTATGTTGTCTTCCCTAGATCAATTTTCTTCTGGATGGCTCGTGCCGAGTGGTAGATCAGCGAATCAATGAGTCCAGCCACTGGAGAGAGAAAAGGGCTGGTACTGGCCCAGTGGGGGCCTTGGCTTGACCTCGAGGGCCTTGTCACCCTACTGGCCAGGCCAACATCTCCCCTTGGCTCTTGAGGTGCCATGGCTCCCTCCTCCCGCAACCCACACCTGGGGGCCCAGGCTTTATACTCCCCACCACACCCCTCCCACTCCAGATGCTCTTGAGCTTCTTACCTGTAAACATGCCCCCAATGATAGCGCACACACCCGTCAGGAAGTGTGTGAAGGACCTGGCAGAGGGAGTTAAGTTAGGATTAGCGGGCAGCCCCCACCCCCATCCCCTATAGGCCCAGGCCCAGCCCTGTGCCCATGCCCCTTCCCCACCCTCACCTGTGCTTCTCTGTCAGCTTCACCATCATTGGCGACAGCTCATAGAGCACGAAGACACCGGGGAGCCCCTGGTCGCCCATTAGCCCGTTGGCGACCTTCTCATGTCTGGTCACAGAGAACTGATTTGTCCTCAGCACCTGGGATGGAAGAGGAGCCTGGGCTAGGGTCTACATGGCTCACAACCCCCTTAGCCCTGCTTCCCCTTGTCTTGTCATGCCCTGACTGTGTGGAGGGAGAAAGTGAGGCACCATATTGTAACTAACGCTGCAAGGCCCGGGGACCACCCCAGACCGTCTCTCCCAGACTTGCTACCCAACTTCCTCTCCAGTCACCAGCTCTTTCCAGGTTACCAATCCCAGCCACATGGGTGGATCCACTCAACAGCGCCATGCCCCAGATGAGACTCTGGGTCTGGGGATGACAAGCAACTCTCCGAGACTACACCAAGAGCTCCTGACAAGGCTGGGGCTGACTTCCTCTGCCCCTCAGTTCCACGCATTCCTCCACTCTGCTGAGATACTGCCCCACAGGCCAGTGGAGAAAGGGGAGTAGGGGTCCAGGAAGTGTCATGCCTGGCTAACCACCCCAGCCCAGGGCAGAACATGGACAGTGAGGCAGACAGACAGCGGGCACTGGAGGAATCGAGGCAGTTTTGGCAAGTGGAAAGAGAATGTGAAGTCTGACGGAAGCAGGTCTGAACTCTGGCTGTGAGACCTTGGGCACACCACCAACCCTCTCTGAGCCTCGGTTGTTCATCTATCCTATGGGGATAAGAGTAGCACTTCTCTTCCCAGGTGGTTAAAAGGAACTAAATGAAGGAACTCAAGTGCCTGAGATCAAGCAGGAGACTGATATCTAAACTCCCTTGGACTCACCTCCCCGTCTACCTTCATGTACACTGTGGGTACCACCTTCACAAAGTACTGGAACATCATGGAGGCTGTAGGGAGAAGAGAGCACCAGGTATGGGTGCCAGATAGGGCTTTGTAGCTAGAGGCCCTGAACCCATCTGACCACCTTTGTACCTTGGGGTGCAGTGACATTGGTGCGGTCCAGGGGGTTAACGATGCCCGGGTAGTCTTCTCCAAATGACAGGTGCCGGATGTAGTGGGTCATGTTGATCTGCAGGAAACACCAACACCTGGGCCTCAGAGCACTCAGGACCCTAACAGTCCTCAAGCCATCAAAAGGCCTGTATTAAGAGTAGCAGACAGGGCCCGGGTCTGGGAAGAGGATGTGTGGAGATGAGGGAAGGAAGGAAGGAGGGGCCCTGTCCATGAGAAGCTATGAGCTCTAAGGGGAGAACCTGCCTGAGACAGGTATCTCCCACTTCCACCTAGGAACCTCTTCACAGAGTCTGCAGGCTCCTGGGGCTCCAGAGTTTACTAACGTACTGGCTTCATTCACACATTAGCAAACATAGACGGGCACCAACCCTGCATGGCAGGTGCTAGCTCTTCCTAAAGGCCTAGGAGGGGTCCCGGATCTCCCAGCTCCCACTCTTGTCCTGCTCCAGTCGATATCAACTCAGCCACTAGAGAAAGCCAAAACCAAACCCACTGTCATCGAGTCAATTTAGACTCACAGTGACCCTACAGGACAGAGTAGAACTGCCTCACAGGGTTTCCAACGAGCAGCTGGTGGATTCAAACTGCTGACCTTTTGGTTAGCAGCTGTAGCTCTTCACTACTATGCCACCAGGACTCCAGGCACTACAGAGATCTTTTAAAAAAATGCAAATATAAATATGCCACAACCCTGCTTAAAATATGTCAACACCTTCCCACTGCTCTTAGGAAAAAGACCAAACTCTTCAGTGTAGCCTCTGAGTCCTGTGTGGTCTGGTCCCTGCCAACCTCTCCAGCTTCATCTTGTGCTCTCGCCCTCACCTCCTGTTCTCCTGGCTCCAGCCACACCTGCCCTTTCAGGTCCTTAAAAGTGCCATACTCCCTCCTGACCTTGCCCTGAGGTCCCCTCTTGCCTAGGATGCTCCTGTCAACCCCATCCCTGCTCCCAGCCTAGTTAACTCCTGTTCAGATCTTAGTCCAAGTCACTCCCAGCTGTTCATCCCTCTGACTGGGTCCCCTGTCAGAACACAGTATATTTTTATCTGCCCCCTATCCCAGGATGCCCAACTGAGAAACGAAGGCAGCAGCCAAACCTCCCACTCCCACCCACCCTCCACGGTTTCCACCAGTACATACATTGTCAAGGCCAAAGCTCTGCAGGTCATGGACTAGGAGAGAAGAGGAGGTGTCATTAGTGGGGCAGGACCAGCCTCCTGGCTCCCTCAGGGCCCTTGCTCACCTCCTGCCCTCCTCCCTCTGGGGTGTGACCTGCCAGGCTCTTCTTCCACACCTCATTCACCCTCCAGCCTTGCATCTCCTGGCCCTGCCTGAGGGCAGCCAGAAAGGGTCTGCCTTGGGCCTGTGTGAAAATCTACACCCTCCTCAGGGATCCACAGGGAGCGCTTTGTGGCATACCTCCAGCCCTCACTCTCTCCAAGCCCACCTGCATCTCAGGAAACAAAACCCTTTGACTTTGGTCTCTCATTAATTAGAGCTGATGGCAAATTGCTGAACCCCAGAATGAAGGGGGACCTGAGCCTGCTGTCCAAGTTCTTTCCCTGACTCTTGTGCCCCCACCCTCAGAGCCCCCAGAGGAAATCCCAGGGCATTTTGTACCACCTGTTCCAGAACAAGTTCTTTCTGTCTTCTAATCCCAATCCTTCCTGCTGCAAGAAACCCTACCTCAAGGATATGTCCCAGTGCTTTTGATAGTCACCCAGCAGCCAGGCCATAGAAGGCCCCCCCATCCCTGACCCATCCAAACTTCCCCCCAATCCTGGGAGGCAAGCTGCCCCAGAAGTGGGGGCTTGGCCCCCTCTGAGGGACAGGGCCACTTACTCTCCACAGCATGTACTGCAGCATGGGGGAGGGAAAGAGAGAGAAGGGAGAAGAGAAAAAAAGATTCAGAACTTCACCTTGAGAACGACAGAGCAAGGTATGTGGTAGGAGGGAGGGCTGAGGCTGCAGGGCAGCGCGGCGAGAGCTCAGAGGAAGGCCAGATCTACCCTAGGCTCTGAAGCAGACTCGCCATCTCAATCCCCTGCCACTTCTCCGGGCCTTACAGCCAGGAGCCTCATGCTCTGTGGGGCTGGAACACTCCGGTCTTGACCACAGGGTCTGGCCCCAGCTAATAGGCCTCTTTCTGGTCCCTTCCTTGGACAGAGAACAGTGCAAGAAGGCCTGGGGGCAGAAGTATGGTGGCCTAGGAAGAACAAAAGACCCAGAGCTCACAGTGCCCCTTTCCTAGTTGTGTGACCTGGGGGCAAATCACTTGCCCTCTCTGGACCTCAGTGTTCTCTGCAAAGAGTGGTCCTGAGGACCAGGCAGGATCTAAGATGGGAAAGTACTTGGTAAACTTTGCAATATAAGAGATAATCTATTTCCCCCCAGCCTCCCAAAACAAAACAAAAACATCCACAAGGAGGTCACAAACTAGTTCCCAGGCCCTCAGTTCAGCCAGATCTCTGGTCTTGGGCAACTGCAGTGTGGCATTTTGAATATCCTCTGGCATACAGAACACCCCCTGCCTGGAATCTAGGATTCTGCCAACAGCCCCAAGAGCAAGATGCTGCTGCTGCCTCCAGCACTACCACCTACTGAGTGCCTACAAGGCGCTGCACAAACAGCTTGATGCTGGATCATGCTACAACCCCAGGGAGACCCTCTGGAGTATGGACGGGACCCCACAGCTCAGCAGGGTTCTCCAGACCCACCTACCGATCCCATCCCCAACACTCAGCCTCACTCCCACAAACTGCCTTAACGATCAGCAGGGCTATCTCTAGTGGACCCTTTACTCCTGCTGACCGTAGTCACCGAACAGCCCACGACAGCTGGGTTCTCTCAGTTCCTTGACTGTTTATCACCACGTGGCTTTGCACATCCTGTAAGATGATCCCAACTCCTGCCCCTCTCTTAGTCATCAGCAAACCCCCTGTATCTTCAACCCCTAAACACTCCCTTCAGCTTTTTGCTCCAACCACAACCTGGCTCTCCCTTGAGGATACTACTTCCCATGCAGCCTCTTCAAAGAGTGACTATCTTCTCTTCCACACCCGTCCTCCTCCTTGCCCTAAACCTTGTCATTAGCTATAACTACATTCTCCCCACATAATTTCAACCTGACTCCTCATTCCCTTACCCCTCACATCTACTGGCAACTCCTCCCAGCTCTACCTTCAAACTGAATCCAGAACCCAGTCACTTCTCACCACCTCTATCACCACTCTGGTCCAAGCCCCCATCATCTTCTGCCTGGGTTGATTATTGCAACAGCCTCCTAACTGGCCTCTCGGATTGTGTCCCGCCTCCTCCCCCACCCAGTCTTTTCCACAGAGCAGTCAGAGTGCTGCTTACCCTTCAAAAGTTAAGTCAGACCATGTGCCACTACTTCAAAGCCCTATAACGGCTCTTATCTCACACAGAGTAAAAGCCCAAGTCCCGACAGTGACCTTCTAGGCCCCATGAGACATGGTCCATTACCTCGCTCACCTCATTTCTAGCCACTCTCCACTGTTCCAGCTACCCTGACTTTCTTGCTATTCCTTGAACTTGCCAAGTACATTCTCACCTTAGGGATCTGCGCTTACTCTTCCCTCTGCTTGGAACACTCCCCCTCCAGACATTTACATGGCTGGCTCCCTCACTTTCGTCATGTCTTTACTCAAATACTACCCTATCAGCGAGCCTTTCCCTGACTACTCTATATAAAATAGTGCATGCACACACCTTCCCATTCCAGCCCCTTGCCACCATCATCTTTATCCTGCTTTTTTTCCAGTCCTTATTACTTATTAGCATATATTTACCATATATACATATATATATATATATACACCATATATTTTACATGCTTGCTCACTGTCTGTTTCTTTACTAGAATATTCTAAGGGCAGGGACTTTGTTCTGCTTACTGCTGTATCCTTAGCACCTGGCACATAGTAGGTGAATACCAAATATCTTGTGAATGCATGAGAATAAACCTCATTTATTCATCCCAACAAACCTGTGAGGTAGGTACTAGTATCATCTTCCCGTTTTACAGAAGAAGAAACTGAGTATGGTTCAATACCTGCCAAATAGGACACAGCTTTGGAGTGGCAGAACCCGTGTTCCAATCCCAGCTCCGCTTCCCTCAAAGCCTCACACACAGGTCCTCTGCTATTGGAGGCTTCCAGTTACCAGGTGTCTACTACAAGCTAGGCTTGGTGTGAAAAGCATCCAATGCATCATTTCATTTAATCTGCACAGCCACCCTAGGAGATGAGTACTATTGTCATCATTTTATAAAGTAAGAAACTGACGCTCAAAACAAGAGATCAAGAAACTTTCTCAAAGTCACACAGCCAGTAATGAATGAAACTGCTATTTGAGCCCAGGTAGTTCGGCTCCTCAGCCTGTGCTCTTACCCACTGTGCCTAAATGCTGCCCTGAGACAAGGGGCTGCTCTGGGCCACAGACAAAACATCAGGCAGGTGAAGGAGCACTCAAACTGCCCAAGTGTCTATCCCCCTGGCTGACCTTGGATCACTCACCGTGCACGTGAGACTGCTGGAAGCTCTTCCCAGGGGCAAAGTGGAAGTTTCCGGCCACCTGTAAGGGATTTCCCTCTCATTCTCTAGCCATGCCCACCCCCCTCCCGAGGGCTTGAGTGGGTCCTCGATTCAAAGTGGAGCTCCCCGAGCCCAGCTCAGTCCAGCTGGCCCTACCCTGCCTTGGTCCCTCCTGTACCTTGTTGACTTCCAAGAAGCCGTACACCTGGCAGCCTTCGTTCTTCTGCTCCTGTATCTTTTGGCTGAAGCCCTCTCGCCGGCACTGCTCAATAGTGTCTGGGTTCTTGAAGGCCCAGCCTCGGCGGCGATATGCCTCCCGCACATCCTCACAGGTGTTACAGCACCTGTAGGAGAGGGGGTGAGGAATGAGCATGTCAAATGGGCGGGAAAACAGTGCTGACACCATGGGAGATAAAGCCCAAGCAGTTCTGTCTGCTGATGAAGCCTCCGCTGACCATCACATTTTCTCATTGTTTCCTCAGTGGCGATGGGCCTGTTTAAAATGCGTATTTCCAGGCTCTACTCCAGACCTGCTGAATTGAATCAGCCTCTCAGGGGTTAGGGCCTGGCAAACCGCTTTTACATAACAGCAGTTGCCATATACTGAGGGTTTAATTTTCCTGGGCCTTCTGTCTCAGTGTTTCACGTACATTATACATATAAACCTTTACAAGACTCTTACAAGGACAAGACTATTATCTGCCTTCACATAAAGAGGTTATATGGCTTGGCCCAAGGACACATGGGTGAAGCCCAGGTGGTGGGACTCCAGGTCAGATACCTCTGAACCATTTCTCTAGGCTGGAGAGCAGGGAGCACACTTCAGCCTGGTCCCTAGATCTCCAGCCCCCAGGCAGGGCCTGAACACAGAGTCTCCGTCATTTGTACAAGGATCAGTGACTGAGGCACGCACCCCACCACCTCTAAATTCTTGGCCCAACCTCCCCACCTGCCACGGAATACAAGGAATCTGACTGAGACTGAGGCTGGCTGACAGACAGTGCCTGATGGGGACCCTGCTCCCTCCTCCACCCCAGGGGCTGGCTCACTTGATGTCTTCCGTCTCAGCACCGTAGCAGCTCTCACAGCGATCAGGGTCCAGGGAGTCAGGGTCAAACACCTTCACCTCAACTTTCCCGAGCTCTAAGGAGAAGGCAGAGACATGAGACTGGGGCAGACACAGTAAATCTGCAACCTTGCCCTGCATGGGGTCCTTTGGGCTTGGGGGTAATAAAAGTGATAATAATAGCTAATATTTATACAGTGTATACCATGTGTCAGACACTAAACATTTTTAGATGTATGTTATTTCTTTTAATAAAAGTAATAAAACAATAACAGTAAACACTCAAAGATCAGCTGGCTACAGGTCACTGTACTTTATATACATTTTCTCATTTTATCCCACAATGACTCAGGAAGTTGGGTGTTACCCCATTTTACTTGGGAAGACACAGGCTCAGAGATGAGAAGTGACTCTGCCCAATGCAACACAGAAAGTGACAGGTTCCATACAAAGACACAAGGAAAGTATTAGCCCAAGAAACAGAAAGGGCCACATAAACCAGAGACTTCATCAGCCTGAGACCAGAAGAACTAGACGGTGCCCGGCTACCACCAATGACCGCACTGATAGGGAACAAGACAGAGAGTCCCTGATGGAGCAGCAGAAAGGTGGGGTACAGAACTCAAATTCTAGTAAAAAGACCAGTCTTAATGGTCTGACTGAGACTGGAGGAACCCCAGAAAGCATGGCCCCCAGACTCTCTGTCAACCTACAACGAAAACCATTCCCGAGGGCAACTCTTCAGACAAAGATTGGACTGGACTGTGGGACATAAAAATGATACTTGTGAAGAGTGTGCTTCTTAGCTCAAGTAGATACATGAGACTAAATGGGCAGCTTCTGTCTGGAGGTGAGATGAGAAGGCAGAGAGGGTTAGGAGCTGGTTGAATGGACATGGAAAATCCAGGGTGGAAAGGAGGAGTGTGCTGTCACAGTATAGGGAGAGCAATTAGGGTCACATAAGAATGTATGTATACATTTTTGTATGACACTAACTTGAAATGTAAACTTTCACTTAAACTACAACAATGAACAAAAAAAAGAGAAAGTGACAGGTTCCAGCTCTGACTGTGAAGTCCATGCCCCTCACCACTTCACTCTGGTGCCTCTCTTCACACCTCTCCCTCTGCACCTGGCACCTGCCTCTAACATCATTGTTGTTAAATATTGTCCAGTCGATTTCGACTCATAGTGACCCCATGTGACAGATAAGAACTGCCCCATAGGGTTTCCTAGGTTGTAATCTTTATGGGAGCAGATCGCTACTGGCTGAGTTCAAACCACCAACCTTTTTGATTCGCAGCTGAGCACTTAACTGTTGCACCACCTGGGCTTCTTTCTGTAACATTACCCCATCCTAATTCTTGGTGATTTCAATATTCAATACCTTTACCTCCTGTCCTCCACTGATCTCTTTACTTTGTCATCCCACCTCAGCCACCCATTTCCATGCTCTTATCTAGACTTTGTTATTCAATACAAATCTTCCAAAATTCAAGTATCCCACTCTTCGACTGCTTATCCATATTTTTCTAGTTCACTATCTCTGGTACCCAGAATCCAACAATTCTTTAACTCTACTGACACTAACACCCCTTTGTGTCCTCACTTTCCTCACTTGCCTTAAATTTCACAGTCCATTGTTATAATTATTCTCTTACAAACACTCGTTCTTCTCTCCCTTCATTGTACCAGGCTGTCAAACCCAAACCCTAGTTAAATTCAACTCTCTGTACCTGCTTCTTGCCTATAGCTCCCATTTACCCTAGTCAGTGCACTCTCCCATTTTCCGAGATGACTAATTTATACCGTCTGCTATCTCAAGCCTCCAAAACCAAATCCCTTAGTTAATGACTTTGCTTTCAATTTCCACTAAGAAAAGAGAAGCAATTGACCTCCACTTGGGTCTCACCACCAAATCCACCTCCCATCCCACATTCTCCTCCAGCCACAACACCACAGAGCTCTCCGTTACAGCAAAACTCCTTAAAGGGTCACCTATACTTGATGTCTCCACTTCCTTTTCTGTTCTTTGATCAGATTTTCATCCCTGACAGTACTGAAACTATTCAAGGTCTCCAGTGTCCTCCGTGTTGCCAATCGCAACGGTCAAGTCCCACCCCTCATCTTACAAGGTCTATCAGTAGCCTGTGACATAATGGCTCACTCTTCTTCTTAAAACTCTTTTCTTCACTTGGCTTCTGGGATATCTTTTGGTTCTCTACTACCTCAATGGCTAATCCCTCTCAAATCTTCCTTCCTGGATTCTCATTTCCTGACTTCTAAATGTTGGAGGGCCCAGGATACAGACCTTAGACCCTCTCCTCTACCTACAGTCACTCCCTGGGTTTGCGCATTTAGTCCGATGGTTTTAAATACCATCTCTATGCTGATGACGCCTGAACTTATTTCTCCAGCCCTATTCCTCTAAATTCCAGACTTGTAATATCCAAATGCCTCCTTAATATCACTAGGGTATAAAGCAGGTATCTCAAATTTAATATGCCCTAACCTGATATCCCAAAAATCCTGATCTTCCCCTATGGGAGCCAGCCTCTAAGATCTCTCCAGTAATCTCTACCTTTGGTATTCACATCCTTGTGTATTCCACTCCCACAATGAATAGAGCTGACCTGTGTAACTACTAATATACTGCAGAAATGATGGTGTACAGCTTCTGAGGTTAGGTCATAAGTTGCGGTTTTCACCTTACTCCCTCTTGGATCACTTGCACACGGGGAAGCCAGATGCCATAATATGAGGACACTCAAGCAGCTGTATGGAGAGGCCCATGTGGCGAGGCACTGAGGTGTTCTGCCAACAGCCATACGAGTAAACCCTCTTAGAAGCAGATCCTTCAGTCCCAGTCAAGCCTTCAGATGACTGCAGCCCCAGCCAACAGCTTGACTGCAACCTCATGAGACCCTGAGTCAGACCCACCTAACCAAACCACTCTTGAATTTCTGACTCATAGACAACTGTGAAGAAAATGAGGTAATCTGTTACACAGCCATGGATATCTAACATCCCACCTGTTCCCCTCCAAAAAAAAAAAAACCCTTCACTTCCTCTGGTCATCCCGATCTCAAGTCATTCATTTGCTCAGGCCAAAAGTCTTGGAATCAACCTTGACCCTGATCTCTTACACCCCACATCCAATTCTGCAGCAAATTCTACTGATTCTAATAACATATGCTGGCAAGAATGTGGGAAGACTGGAACCCTTATCCACTGCTGGTGGGATTGTAAAATGGTACAACCACTACAGAAAACAGTATGGCACTTCCTCAAAAAACTAGAAACAGACCTACCTTATGATCCAGCAATTCCACTTTTAGGCATATACCCTAGAGATCTAACAGTAATGACACAAACAGACAAATGTACACCTATGTTCACTGCAGCACTATTCACAACAGCAACAAGATGGAAACAACCTAAGTGCCCATCAACGGATGAATGGGTAAACAAAATGTGGTTCATATATACAATGGAATGCTACGCAGCCATAAAGAATACTGAAGAGTACACAAAACATAACATAGATGAATCTAGAGGACATTACGCTGAGTGAAGTAAGTTAATCACAAAAGGACAAATACTGTATAATCTCACTTTTATAAAAAGATAAGAACAGATAACACATATAGAGACCAACACTTTTTGGTGGTTACCAGGGATGGGGGAGGCAAGAAGGGAAATCATTCTCTAGATAGTAGACACTTGTTATTTTTGGTGATGGGAAAGTTAACACTGAATATGGGTGAAGTGAGCACAGCGTGACCAAGGTAAATGATGTCACTAAGATGTACACAAGAAAAAAGGATGTTTTGGTAAATGCTATGACACATATACAACAACAGCAACAACAACCAAAAAATATATGTGTATGTATATATGCATTTATGTGTACAGGTACATAAATGTGTGCATGTATGAGAGTATGTGTGTATATATATATATGCATGTATGAGTCTGCATGCACATATATTCACACATATAATTAAGCACACAAGTGGCACAGTTACAGATACTTCTTAGATATAACCAAACACTTTGCTGGATTGGTTTTCTGGGTTTGAAGGCTTAGGATCATAGTCTCATGGGACATGTCGGTCAATTGGCATAATAAAGTTCATAAAGTTTATGTCCTACATCCCAGGTTGGTGAGTAGCATCTGGAGTCTTAAAAGCCTGCAAGTGGCCATCTAAGATACAACTATTGGTCTCTACTCGCCCACAGCAAAAAAGAAGGTAACCCAAGAGTCTGAGAAGGAACTAGTCTACAGGACTGTTTAAACGAACCATGGTTTCTTCTACTCCAAGACAAGAAGAACTAGATGGTGCCCGGCTACTACTTCTGACTGTTCTGATCAGGGCCACAATAGATGAATCCTCATAGATTGGGAGAAAAATTTGGAACAGACCTCAAATTCTTAAAAAGTCCAGCCTTTAGACTGGTTGAGACTAGATAACTCCCTCAAACTATGGCCCTGAGATGCTCTTTAAACCTTAAACCAAAACTATCCCGAGGTCACCTTTTAGCTAAATCACAGATTAGCTCACAAAATAAAGAACATCGCCTGTGAGTACTGTGCTTCTTTAAAAAATTATCTATGTAAGACCAAATTGTCAGCAATTACTTTTAAAAAAACATGTGAAGGTAGGGGGCAGGGAAATTAGATTACTGGAAGTGGAACAACCAGAACGGAAATAATGAGAATGTTGACACACTATAAGGAATGCAACCAACGTCACTGAACAATCTGTGCAGAAATTGTTGAGTGGGAACCTAATATGCTGTGTAAATTTTCACCAAAAACACAATAAAATGTTATTTAAAAGAATTCTATTGGTTCTACTGGTATTCAACATATATATCTATTGAATGAATAAATGATAAAGCTCCCCACCAGAGCAATCTCTAAGGTTTGAAAAACCCTAGCTTTCAGGAGGGTTGTGGTATGGTGGAAAACTGAGTTAATGGAGCCACTGGGAGACAGCTTAGAGAAAAGGGAAGGAAGCTAAAAGTGAGCACCCACTCTGTACCAGGAGCTGTACATACATTACCTCACTTGATCCTATATTTCCATATGGTGGGTACTACTGTTTATCACTATTGTATAGCTGAGGCTCACAGACTGCATGAGACAAAGCTAGATCTGAACCCAGACAGTCTGATTCTAGACTCTAAACTCTTAACCTTGAGTCACCCTGCATTCCAAAGGAGAAAACCATTAAGGACTAAATTTGGTTTAGCCAAAGGGCTGGGGAAGCAAACACTCAAAGAGCTTGAGTCCATCTAGAGGAGTTCCACCAAGACAACAGCACATAAGACCCATCCTCAAACATCTGTTATCCAAACTATGATAGGCAGAGATTGGGAACCTCTCAGAATGATAACCAGGTAAGAGTACCGTAAGGCCAGAGGTCTGAATTTCAGCCTACTCTGACTGGGGGAACCTAGGCAAGCCACTTGACCTCTCTGGGTCTTAGTTGCTTCATTTGCCACTGAGACTACCAAAGCCCACTTGCCAGAAGGTAGGGCTTGGCATGCCCAACTCTGAGACCTGGCCCCCTCCCCTAGTTACCATGCCGTTCTGCCTCTGAGCTCACGGGGATGCCATCCTTGTCTAGCCGTTGCTTGAACAGGTTGTGTTCCACATCCAGTTGCTGTTCCCCAGCCACATCCATGGCATCGATGCTCAGATCTGGAAGCAGGAAGTCAGGCTAAGGTTCTGGGATCCAAGGGGCAAGGAGATCTGGGTTTTGGAGGGGAAAGGATGCTGGGCCTGTCTTGGGGCAGAAATGGATCAGGGGACGGAGGCTGTCCTGGAGTCCAGTCCAGAACGTAAGGCTGAAGGTGTGAATCTGGAAGCCCACCTGAGAACCCTGGGACTTGCAACTCCCATCCATGGAGAGGTACTCACAGGCACAAGGCATGTGCGGGAAAAGTACATCTATATTGATCTTCAGTTTATCTCCCCGGGACTTGTCCACGTAGAGCTCTGGATGCACCTGGGACAGCAGTACCTCAGTAAGAAGATTTGGCCCCATTCCCACCTTCCACAGGTCCTACCCCTAGAATGTCAAGCCCCGCCCACGTTCTAGGCCCCGCCCCTTACCTCAGTGGTGAGGTAATATTGTAGCTCGGACAGGAACAGTAGCAGCATGAGAAGTCCACTGACAATGGTCACTGCAGGACGGGAAGTTATGGTCAGAATAGCCTCTGTTTTGCTCCCTCAGCCCCTGGCAGGCCGGTCACAGAACAGGCGCCTGAGCCAAGCTCTAGGACACACACCCCCCCCTCGACTCCGGCCCCGCTGCGGCCTACCCGTGGCGCCCCCGCAGGTCTTGACGCGGAAGTCCTCCAGAGTCTTGGGGTAGGCATCGAACTGCTTCAGTTTCCCCAGTGCCTCCATAGGGACCAGCCGGAAAAGGGATGCCAGCCGGCCCGCCCCGCAGCCTGCCGCTTCCGGCCCAGAGCCTGAGACACGCCCCCGCCTTCTCGCACGCAGGCGCAGCAGTGCCCACGTTTGGCTCCACCCCCACACGCGTTCTCACTACGACAGATTCACACGCACCGATGCTTGCCACGCCCCCTCACGCGCAATCCGCTGTGTCTAGACGCAGCTGTGAAGTGGGCTTGGTAGTCGTGGGAGCCTATGCTGATCAGAGTGCCCTCTGTGGGGTAGAAACCGTCATAACAGCATTCGCTTACCTTCTGCCAGGAGCTGCGCCAAATGTTTCACATCAGACTTGAGGGACATCCTAGAACAGTGGTTTTCAAAGTGTTGCCCCGGATCAGCAGCATCATTTTCACCTGAGATCTAGTCAAAAAAAAAAAGAAAAAAAAGCCTTGGTGGCGCAGTGGTTTAAGAGTTACGGCTGCGAACCAAAAGGTTGGCAGTTCAAATCCACCAGTTGCTCCTTGGAAATCCTATGGGGCGTTCTAATCTCTACAGAGAACTGGTTAGAAATGGAAATTATCGGACCCACCACAGACCTACTGAATCAGAAATGCTAGGAATGGCACCCAGGTGATTCTGATGGAGCTAGTTTGAGACTCACCGCCCTAAAAAAGTAGGTGTGACGTTTAGCTCCATTTTCTGAAAAGGCACCTGCTGCCTGGAGAAGCTAAGTAACTTTCTCAAGACCACAGACAGTTAATGGCTGTGTCTGATTTTAACCCAGGTCTGGAGCTCAAAGTGCTCTGGGAACCAAAGCCTTGTGGGTTGATTTTATTCAAACAGCGTCCCAGTGCCTCTCCTGAGCGCGTTCTGGATTACCCTAGGTCCCTTCCCAGACCCTGGGCTCTTCCAAGACATGATCCAGCCTCTAGGCTTGGACTCTGATCCCTCAAGTAATGTGGAGCTTAAATAGCTCTCCCCTGACATCTCCCAGTGCAGCCTGAGACAGCTTCTGTCTGGAAGGACAGCTCCCACAGTAATCTAGCTATGATGATCAAAACACAAAATGCTCATAGACTTTGATTCAGGAATTGCACTTTAGGAAATAAAAGCACCCAGCTGCTGGGTGGTGGATACACCCCACAATATTAGCTCTGTCCTTTCCATTTAAAGATTTACTTAAAAAAAAAAGAGAGAGCACCAGATCATAAATCTCATCATATACTTGTGAGATTGTTCACTGGCAGAAAACTGGAATTAACTTGAATGTCCATTAATAGGGGAATGGTTGAATAAACCACAGCATATCCATTCTATGGAATATTGTGCAGTTTTTCAAAATAATGAGGTAAATTTACTCCCGCAGGAATATTAAGAATGTATTATTGAGGGGAAAATTAAGCTGCAAAGTAATACGTATTGCATGATTCCATTTTTAAATTAAAAATAATCCTATCTGGGGGAATATGTGTTTGTGTAATCATAGAAAAAGATTTGGAGGGATTCATGCTACACCTTAGGTGGCATGAAGCAAAATTTCTTGGGTGAGCCTGAGCAAACAGGCAGGCAGAGAAAACCTGGAATTCCTTTTTGTTATCTGGGTTCCAGAATCCTGAGAGACTGAATGATTCTACCAGAAATAGTAGTAAGGAATCTGCTGATGTAATTATGTCTGAAGCCCTGATACCCTAAGTATGGTCCTTGGACCAGAGCATTGTCTTTACCTGGGAGCTTGTTAGAAATGCACAATCTCAGGCTTCACTTCAAATTTGCAGAATCAGAATCTTCATTCTAACAAGATTCCCCAAGTGATTAATAGGTACATTAAAATTTGAAAAGTACTTCCCTAAAAGGCTCCTTGCTCTAACACAGAACTGCCCACACAGGGACATGAGCAGTAGCACAGGAAAAAAAAAAATCTGAGTGACTCAAACATTGCATTGAATTCACATTCAAAAATGTAATAATTCATTCATGCAAGCAATACTCAAACATCCACACACTCTGTGTTCCCTGCTTGGTGCTGTGCCCTACACAGAGAGAGTTGAATTCTTTCCTTCAATAAGGTCACAGTCCTAGTGAGGGATATCAGCAAGCAATAATAATAAAAATAAGAGCTAACATTTATTGAGTTCCTACTGTGTAAGGAGGAGCCTTGGTGGAGGAACAGGCAAGCTCTTGGCTGCTAACCAAAAGGTGGGCGATTCAAACTCACGCAGAGGCTCCATGGAAGAAAGACCTGGCAATCTGCTTCTGTAAAATTACAGCCTGTGAAACTCTCTGGAGCAGTTCTACTCTGTCTCATGGGATTGCTATGAGTTGAAATCAACTCAGCATCACCCAACAACTATATAGCAGGTACCATGCTAGGCTCTTCACCTGCATCTGCTTCATGTCAGCTACCAACTTAGAAGGTTAACTACTATTATCCCCAATTAAAAAATGAAAAAACTTTAGCTTGGAGTAGTCACATGGGTAATATGCTAAGCCCTAAATTCTCATCTGTTTCATTTTAAGGCGCATGGCTCAAGTGATTTTAATGACATAACATCCAGACTTTGATAAGAGGTGGCACAGGCGACTACAGGAGTCTGCAGGAGAAAGTGACTGACTTGCTAGGTCAAGGAAGGCTTCCAGGAAGGGGAGGCAAGACACTGGAGCTGGGCGCCTGGTTGCAATCTGACTTAGGAGAGGCAATGTCTTCCTTTTGCCCTCAGGTACAGTTTGCTAAGGAAGAGGAGAAAGGAGAAACATACTAACTGAACTGACTATATGCTATATGACTATGACTACTGTACAGTATTCCATTCTACCCTCTAAACAACCTTGGGAGCTATTTCAAATCCCCTCAAATAGATGAGGAGGTCAAGCCTTTTAGAGGTGAATTGACATCACTCAAGATTGCAGGCGTGATGGTTAAGCGCTCAGCTGCTAACATAAAGAGGTCAGTGGTTTGAATTCACCAGCCTTTCTGCTGGCAGTTTGATTCCATGAAGATTACAGCCTTGGAAACCCTATGCAGCAGTTCTACTCTGTCCTATAGGGTTGCTATGATTCAGATTTGACTTGATGGCAAGAGGTTTGTTTATCTGAAGGTTGCATGGTGTGGTGGGAGCCCTGCTGGCATAGTGGTTAAGAGCTTGGCTGCTAATCAAAAGGACAGCGGTTCGAATCCACCAGCTGCTCCTTGGAAACCCTATGGGTCAGTTCTACTTTGTCCTATAGGGTCGCTATGAGTCAGAACCAACTCGATGGTACCTAAAAACAACAACAAGGGTGTGATGGTTAAAGTTGTGTATCAACTTGGCTGGGCCATAATTCTCAATGGTTTGGCAGTTATGATGTAGTTTGGCAGCTATGTAATGATGTAATCACCTCCATAGTAAGATCTAATATAATGTAATCACCTCCACGATGAGATCTGCTATGAGCAGCCAGTCAGTTGAAAGGGAGTTTCCTTGGACGTGTGGCCTGCATCCAATATATGTGGGCTTTCTGGCAAAGTGCTCTGGCTTTTGCTCGCTCTGGATCCTGCAACTGGCTCCTATTCATTTGACCTCCAGTTTTTGAGACTTGAGCTAGCAGTTTACCTGCTGATCTTGGGATTTGCCAGCCCCTGCAGCTATGTGAATTAGGAGAAGCCTCCAACCTGATCCACAGACTTGGGAATTTCCAGCTACTACAACCATATGCACCAATTACTTGATATAAATCTCTCTCTATATATATGTGTGTGTATATATATACACTTCACTGGTTTTGCTTCTCTAGAGAACCCAGCCTAAGACATTTGGGTACTGAGAATGGTTCTACAAAAACAAAATTGTAAGGATGAGTTTTCTAAATTGGTTGTCAAGTCTGGTTAGTCTTAAAGATGTTTGATGACTCTGCTTCCAGTAGTAAAGAGGGCACTGCTAATCCATGGCATGAGGTGGCAATACAAATATGCAAAATATCACCACCAATAGATTAGGTATTGGTGAGAGTTGAGGCTCTGGGTGATCATATGTTTAATATCTTTCTACAGTTTTGTCAGAATGAGAAGTATAAGGAAGCTGGTTGGTTTTACTTTCAGTAGACAAAGTGGTGAAAGAAAGAGATGAGCTCAGGGCTTCAGAGTTACAGCTAAAGTGCCAGGTAAACAACCTCGAAGTTGCCACTTGGTCCTTGAAAGAAAACCGTATTTCTTGTAGAAACAGAGCTGATATTGCTGAAAACCAAACCCGGAATCTTATTGTAAGAGTGGCTGAATTACAACATCAATTGAATTCCAAATCTCGAATGGTGTCTGAAGTTAAAGTGAGGGCATTGATAGGGAAGAAATGAGATCCTAAAACTTGGGGACATATGGGTAGATAATCAGGAAGCTGGGGATACTGAGCCCCTACATTCCGCTGAATTACTCCTGTTAACAGAACCAGCCCTCTCACTCCCATCTAAAGAGACTACTCCATCTTTGTCTGCTAATCAACTGTCCCCAGTAAAATGATTAGCCCCTACACCCCCATCTGATGAGATTAGCCCAGAAGTGTCTGAAGAGCCTTTGTCTGAGTCATTGCCTGGGGCATTGCCTGAGGCAGATGCCTTACAAGACATTGCTGAATGTTCTCAGAACACATCCTCACCACCCATTTTTGCTACTAGACATAAGTCCCAGGTAGCCCCAAAAGGTGAAGTACAAAGCACAGCCCAGGAGGAGGTATGCTACACTCCAAAAGTACTGCTTGAGTTTTCTAATATGTACAGATTTTGGGGGCAACATATCCCTCATTTGGGTGTGCTACTCCAGTTTATATATCAAGTGACTCAAAAAGCTGTTAGTTTTGAGTGAGGCCCAGACCAAGAGAAGGCTCTGCAAGGTTCAGGCTGCTGTGCAAGCCGCTCTGTCACTTGGGCCATATGATCTGGCTGATCCAATGGTGCTTGAAGTGTCAGTGGTAGATAGAGATGCTGTTTGGAGTCTTTGGCAGGCCTCTACTGGAGAATCACAGCACAGACCCTTAGGATTTGGGAGCAAAGCCCTGCCATCCTCTGCAGATAACTACTCTCCTTTTGAGAAACAGCATTTGGCTT